TCTCGCTGTCTGTCTCTTTGTCTACTGTCTGTCCGTCTCTCTCTTTCTTTCTCTTGCTCTCTCTGTCTGTCTGTCTGTCTGTCGCACTCTCTCTCTTACTCTCTCCTCTCTCTCCGCTCTCTCCTCTCTCTCTCTCTCTTGTTCTCTCTCCCCTCTCTGGCTCCCTCTCTCGGTATCTCTCGCTCTATCCTGTAATTTATGTAATTAACTGAGCAAAGTTCCATAACGAGTCTTTTTTTTCTCTTCATCCCATCCATCTCACAGTCACGTTCTCGCTCTCACCAGTCCTGACACAATCTCACTCACACAGTCTCACGTTCAAACTCACACACACTCACATACAGTCACGTACGCTCACACACAGTCGCACATACTCTCACACACAGTCGCACATACTCTCACACGCAGTCGCACATACTCTCACACAGTCACACCTTCTCTCACACACAGTCGCACATACTCTCACACGCAGTCGCACATACTCTCACACGCAGTCGCACATACTCTCACACGCAGTCGCACATACTCTCACACAGTCACACCTTCTCTCACACACAGTCGCACCTTCTCTCACACACAGTCGCACATACTCTCACACACAGTCGCACATACTCTCACACACAGTCGCACATACTCTCACACACAGTCGCACATATCTCACACGCAGTCGAACTGATGCAGTGTCTGATCTGTGGGCGGGTGTGAGTGAGTGGCGCTGGGCTGCGCCGGCGCTGCCTACAGTGAAATGCTAATGAAAAGTCTTCAATTATTGAGCCGATTCCTGGGTTCCGTATTAATTGCAATTTCTTCAAAGCATTTGTTCCGGGAAAGAGGGTTTTCGTTAAAGGAGAAATCTTTATACTGCCCGTGTGCGTGTGTGTCAGTGTGTGTGTGTGTGTGTGTCAGAGTGTGTGTCTGTGTGTAGGATTGTGTGAGTGAGTGAGTGTGTGAGTCTCCAGATTTCGCCCACAAATACACAGTCGATTCACTTTACGCATCGTTCCGTGAAGCGCTTTGAGACGCTCGAAGACGTGAGAAGGCGCTCTCAAATGGCAGGATATTATTATTTTTATTTGATTCCAAGACCCTCTCACTCGTTTCATATCCCTTCGCGCCCCGACACCTCCCTCCCTCCCTCCCTCTCCCACCCGTTCACCCCCCACCGCCGCCCCCCCCCCCCCACCAAACCCACATCCCGCTGCCTCCTCACGGCTGGCTCCGGGCTCCTGTTGTCCTGACGTGCCACCATCGCTTCCACGAACCTCTGTCGCTCTCTCTCCCTCTGTCGCTACCTAATCCCCCCCCCATCCTTCCCCATCTTCGGGTCACGCCGGTGGAAAGTACAAGTTGTTGTTGTTGTTGACTGGGTCGTGCTGCTCCTCTCCGTCTGCTAGTGGCGGAGGGAGGGAGGGAGGGTGGGAGGGAGGTGGTGGGGGGGGGGGGGGCGGAAGGAGGGAGAGTGAGAGAGGAGGAGGCGGAGGGGGGGTGGGGGAGAGTGAATCTGCTGTGTATAAGCGGAGAGAGTGTTATCAGTGTTATGCCGCTCTGACTGCTGCTACACCGTGTCCTACTGCTGATTGGAAAGTAATTGAATCTGCGGGATATGGGGCCATCATCCGAGAGGGTGTCCGATGGCCTGATGTACCGTATCAGAGCATCGTAAAGTCGCAGGAACGTTCAGTTATTAATAGTGATGATAATATTCCGTGTCAGTCAGGCGGCGACTTTTGTCACCGAGCTTCGCAGGACAGACTCGCCGTAAAGTGCAGTCACTGTATTATTGAGGCCAAACAGTTCGAGCTCAGAAATGTCCCCGAAAAACAGCCGAGAGGAGGCGAGAGGGGGAGCAATTTTATGGAGGGGAGGGCACCTCCAACAATAAGGGCTCTCTCTCTCTCTCCCTCCCCCCCCCACCCCCTCACTCTGTCACCCCCGAGCTAAAGATTGCAGCCTGGAATACAGGAGCTATAACATTCCTTGACGTGTGCGATTGGGTGTGTGTGGGGGGACGGCGTGTGTGTGGGGGGGGGAAGGGTTGGGGGTCGAACCCACAGCTCCTGAATTCCGGAGGGTTTTTCGAGACGTCCTCCCCTCGTGACAGGCGCTGTGTAAATGTCATTTGTTGTTGTTGTTGTGTGAATTGTATCTTGACTTTGTGTGAATTCCGCCCTCTTCCCCGGCTCCCCTTCTCTCCCCACCCCCCCACTTCTCCCTGACCCCCCTCCGCGCCCCTTCTCTCTCTCGCTCTCTCCCCACCGTCTCTGGCAGCTGGTGGGAAGTGTTCTGACCTGGAGTTACCTGAAGACCCTGCCAGGGAGCGGGGACCTGGTGGACGGTTTCAGGGCGTTGAGGGCCTTTGAGGATGTGGACGTGTCGGGGGCCGGCTGGTGTCTGTGTCTCCCCAGGGAGGGGGGGTACCAGCCGCTGGACATCGGAGCCAAAGACTACCTCTCGGGGGAGGAGTGGTGACCCCCAGCCACGGCCGAGCAACAGTGAGACTCAACCAACAGCAGGTGGAAGGTCTTGCTGTCTTATTGTTACTGGGGTGGTCCTCCAGGGTGGGGGGGTGGGCTGGGTGTGTGTGGGGTGGGGGGAACATGTGCGGGGGGGGAATGGGGACTTACCACCACAACCTCTGAACCCTGTGGAGTACTTTGAGATGTCCCAACCCTGAAATAAATGTCATTTGTTGTTGTTTGGTCTGAAACCCTCTCCCCCACCTCCTCACCTATAGCTGTCTGTTCCTCTGTCTCTACCGTTAGCATCTGGGTCGACAATCCCTCTTCCCCACCCGCTCCCCCAATTTCTCCCCCTCCCCCACCCTGCGACCCCCCCCCCCCCCCCCATCCTACTCCCCAAAGCGAGAGAGAGAGTGACCGGGTGCTCCATCCAGATGGGGAAATCTCCATGTGGAGGTGCTGAAGGCCTGTGGAGCTCTCGGGTTGGTTCGGATAACTGTTAGTTGTTGTTGTTGTTGACGGTTACCGGATGCGCAGACATCATCCGGTCCTGTAGCTCAGTGGTTAGAGCCCTCGCCTCGCAAATGAGAGGACCCGGGTTCGATTCTTGGCCGAGCGAAACATTGGGCCTCTGTTTACCCAATCGTTAGTCGATTGGCGGATCACTTTCACGGGGTTCATAATTTCGTGACAATAAAATAAAAATAATGCTAAAATAATAAGGATTTTTGTCGCTCAATCCACGACGGTTTGTGGGACGTCGCTGCGCGCAATCAGCTGCCCGCAAAACATAGTCAGTTCGCACACGCAGACACGATAAACAAGGATGATTATTATTATTATTAATATTACAGGTAACTTGCTCGCTGGCTCGGGGGCTGGCGTGAGTGGACTGTGACGGTTGCTAAGAACTGGAGAAGGTCAGCGAGATCTGGAGGCTGCCCACAAGTCAGTCACTGATGTGGCTGGTCAAGCGCTCAGTCGTGTCGAATTTGGTGTGGGAGGGGGCGCAGGGGGAGGGGGGGGCGCGTGGAGGTGGTGGGGGTGGGAGAGAGGCTCCAGGTCTCCCTTCACCTTTCCCGAGAGGCTGTGTTTGCCAAGCGGAGCGTCCCAGCGTGCGCCTGGTGGGAGAGTTCTCCCCAGGGCCTCTCCGTCTTGCACACAGGTCAGCTCACCGCTCCCTCATTCCCTGCCTCGCCTCGGCTCGCCTGACCTCCAGCTCAGAGGGTGGATGTCACAGCCCTGAGCGTAGATGTTGTGAACAGTGAGATGTCAGTGGGGTGGGAGGGGGGTGAGCTGTGAATTGGGATAGCCCCCCACCCCCCATAGGAATTCACAAGCAAATGCCACTGAAAAGCAACCGGCAAAACCTTGTCCTTTCCACACGGCTCAACAAACACTCACTGCTCTTTGTTGACCAATGCAGTCTATTGGCTGACGCTCCAGTGCATGCTGGGGGTTGCGGGCGGTGGGGGGAGTGGGGGAGGGATGTAGAGCCGCATTGTCGGAGACCCCGTCCTTTGGATGAGACGTTAAACCCGAGCGCCCCTTCTTCACCCTGTCCCATCGCCCCAACTCCGACCATCTCTCTTTCCTCTCCAAGGTCCTGGAACGAGTCGTTGCTTCTCAGCTTCACTCCTTCCTTCCTCTCCCACCACTCCCTTCTCAAACCCCTCCATTCGGGTTTCCATGCCATCCCACACACAGAAAAGACCCTCATCCAAAGAGACACATTCTGTCCATCTGTGACCGGGGATCCCTCTGCCTCCTCGATCTCCTTGACCTCTCTGCTGCTGCAACCACCGTCGACCACTCTATCCTCATCCACCGCCTCTCCTCTCACCTTAACCTTCACGGCTCTGGCCTTGACTGGTTCTGATCGTACCTCTCACACCGCCTGCTCTTCATCTCCACGAACGGCTTCTTCTCCAGCCCCCGGACCGTCTCGTGCGGAGTTCCTCAGGGCTCTGACACCCAACTCTACCTCCCTGCCTCCACTCTTGACTCCAGGACCAACTGCTGTCCTGACAGAATGTCTGTCAGACATCAAGCCCTGGATGAGAGCCAAGTTTCTTCTTGTTTGACCCTCAACTATCCACATCTGTATCATGACCCGCTTTGGCTTCCCCACCTCCTCAACATCGCCCGGCTCCCAGTCTCACACCGCAGGCCACCGAGACCCTGAAACACTCATTCATAACATCGATCCTCGACCTGACGCCGAGCTCGCCCGCCGCTCACCCGGAAACCCTTCCCAGCACGTCCCAGCAACGGTTGCGGAGTGTTGCGTCGTGACTGGGTGCCCGTAGGTCAACGCGGCAGCCAGTTTGCACGGACGTGCGCCAGCGCACATGCGAAGGAGCGCGAAGGCAAAACGCGCCCACGGATGCGTGCACTAACACGGGCGCACGCGCAACATATCATATAAGGTCCCTTTGCCCTGGTCCGCCACCCGCGCACCCCTCTCCCCAGTCGCTGGCAGCACAGTGTGAGCGTGCGTGGGTGGGGGGTGGGGGGGGGGGTGTTGCGGTGAAAACCCACCTGAATGCCGTTCAGTGAGGCCACCCCCATGTAGAGGAAAACTCCGTACAGCACAGCCATCGGGATGTACTGAGGAACCAAGACACCAACACTTCAAGTCAGTCAGAGGAACGTAGGAACCGGAGGAGGCCATTCAGCCCCTCGAGCCTGTTCCGCCATTCTATTAGATCACGGCTGATCTGTACCTGAACTCGAATCGTATAACGACATAAACTCGCACCACATCAGCTCCAGGACAGACTCCCACCCCTCATGTCCCATCCCGTCCGACTGCACCACCCCACCCCACCCACGCCCCTCGCCCCAGTTTGCCGAGGGGAGGGGCTGCCTCTCTCACCTTCAGGATGGGGGCCAGGAAAACCGAGACCCCGGTCAGGATAAATACCACAACGCCGGTGAATCTCTGCTCCCTGGGGACAGAGGAAACCAGTGTTAGTGAAGTGACCCGCACCGTGCTCGGTCCCTCTGTGATGGACTCCCTCAACTACACAACCCTGTGTCACTCCCGCACCAGGCTCCGTGACCCCATCAACCCCTCAATCCCTTACCCGGCTCCACTGGACTCCCCGTCCTCCAGGGGATAGAGCTCAAAATCCTCGTCCTCGCCTTTAAAGCCCTCCACTGCCTTGCCCCCCTCCTACACCTCTGACCCCCTATCAGTCTGTTTCCGCTCAGTGGGCTCCATGTCTCCCACCCGCCCCATCCCACCATCAACAGTCAGGTCTTCGGCCCCTCTTCCCCAACCCTTTGGAACCCCATCCCACATTCCCTTTGCCTCACTCCCTCCCTTGCCTCCTTCAAGACCCTCCTCTTCGACTGTGACTTTGGCCACCCTCCTTCCTACCCCTCCCCCCACCCCGATCCCAATCCTCAGCTTGGCTCCGAATCCCTGAATGTCCAGCACCTTGGGACCTCCTCCTGACCCGAAAGGCTCCGTGTAAACATGTGTTGGAACTATAGAACTACCTGCCCATGTAACTCTATGTGACTATGTTACAGTGTGACTGTGTGTGACTGTACGACTGTGTCTGCGTGTGGCCGTGTGACCGACACCCTGTCAGAGGACCTACCTGACTCCCAGGAACTGGGGATGTTCGCCTGGGGCGCTCGTCTCCGTCTCCATCTTGAGGCCGTCGATGTGAGCGATGGAGATGACGGTGGCTGCCACGTACCAGGGCAGCCCCATGAAGGAGCAGACGGCCAACAAGATCCCCACCCAGAACAGGTCCAGGTGATAACCGGCTCCCTTCTGTGGTGGGAGAGAGTCACAGTCACACGTGTGTGTCTGTTAGGAATGGCCTCGCTGTGGCACCGTATCTGATCGCCTTAACCCCCCACTCCCCACCACCCCCACACCCTCCCGCCAGAGTTGGTCTATAAACTGCAGTGACTGTGCGACGGGAGATGTTATACGCACAGCGAGTTGTGTGTTCGAGCAAACACAGTCCGGGTTGACTGATACTCCAGGGCGGTGTTGGATGAGTCCTGCGGAGTGGAGGGAGGGAGGGAGGGAGGGTGGGAGGGGGAGGGGAGGGAGGGGGCGAAGGAGGGAGGTGGTCAGCGGAAGTGGGGAGTCTGGCAGGAGGGAGGGAGGGAGAGGGGCAGAGTGGGGAGGGAGAGGTTCAGTGAAGGTGGGTGGGAGGGAGGGTGGGGGGCCAGCAGAGGGTGGGGGGGGGGTGTAACGGGGCAGTGGAAGTGGGGAGGGAAGGGGGAATGGGAAATGCTGCATTGTTGAAGGCTCCATCCTTCGAATGAGCCATCAAACTAAGCTGCGCCATGTTTGGGCGGACGTTAAAGATCTCCCACCCTTTTTTTGGGGGGGGCAGCCGGAGGTCTGACAAATGGAGAAAACCCATCACCGTTGCTTAAGGGTCTCCAAACCAAGCTGAGAAGTCCTACCCACACCTCCCTCCCACCCACCCACCCACCCTGTGTGACTGAGAACATCTCAGCTGGTCAGAGAGAGATCCTCAGCCAAATACAATGGGGACAGTGCCACTTAACATATTTTTTGACCGGCCGGGTGTCCGACACACATGGAAACCCATCACCGTGATCAGCCGGGTGTCTGAGGCGCAGGCAAACCCCTCACCGTTGCTTAAGAGTCTCCAAACCCAACTGAGATTTACTACCCCCCCCCCCCCACCCCCATTTACCTTCAGCTTGTGCTCGTTACGGTTGACGATGACTCCAGTGATCTGTTGGTCCATGAAGACGAGGATGGTGACGAGGAGGGCAGGGAGGGCGCTGGCCAAGTACACCCACCAGGCGTTCTTCCCGAACGGCATAATAAACCAGCCGCGGTCAGCACGGGTGGGCTGTGGGGGGGAAGTGGGGGGAGGGAGGGGGAAACGACGATCACAAAAGGCCAGAGGGCCAGTTAGTCAGTTATTTAGTAACCCGAAGGAACGATGCGGAGGGGGCGTCTAAACCCTGGAGCCTCCGCCCCACCCCGCACCCCCCTCCCCATCACATCCCCGGGAATCACTGGGGGCTTGTCCGAAGGGGTTTGGGAAAACTCCTCCCTCCCGCGCTGAATGAGAAAAGGATATTCCCCGGGGGAGGAGGTGGGGGGGGGGGGGAGTGTCGGGGTGGGGGGGGTGTTTACCTTCAACTGGGTGGGCACCCGCAGTTTTGGGGTGCTCAGGCCCATCAGCATGTCGATCCCAACAAACAACAGGATTGACATGAAGATTGAGAAATCGCTGATGAGCTTCCGAAGCTGAGAGAAAGCAGAGCGGAGTCCGGGGGAGAGAGAGAGAGAGAGAGAGAGAGAGAGAGGGAGGGAGAGAGAGAGAGAGAAACAAGATAGGATGAACGGGAAAAAAAAAAGGAAGCGGTAGAAAGTAAGTATAGAAAAAGCGATCGAAGGCTGAATCATAATAATAATAATCTCCACATTTGATACAGCGCTTTGTCACGTCGTTCAGAAGCCTCAAAACGCTTCCCTGAATATATTGCAAAGTGTAGTGACTGTGCGCCTTGTGGGTGAATCGCGGTTGTGCCCCAGCGACGTCCCCCCAAACAGTCGTGGGATTGGTCATCGTTATTATTTTTTTTGTAGGACTGGTCGCACCTTTTTTATTATTATTATTTATGATTACTATGACCCCCTCCAGAAGACACAAGAGTTTCACCTGACACAGAAAAGAGAGAGAGAAAATGAGAGGTGATGGGGAGGAGGATGTGTGTGCGGAGGGGGTGGGGGGGGAAGGCGAGGGGAGGAGGGGGGGGAAAGCAGGGGGGCAAACCTTTATTTCAACAGGAACGTGCAGTTTGACGGTGTCCAACCCCACAACCGCGTCCAGACCACAGAAGACGAGGATGGAGATGACGGTGCAGAAATCACTGAGCAAAGTCCGGATCTGAGAGGGCAACCCAGTGGGGAGAGAGGGGGGGAAGAGGGGGAGAGAGAGAGAGAGAGGAGGGGGTTAGCATGCGGGGAGGGGGGGGTGTTGGGGGTGGGGGGAGGGCCTGGTGATGGAGGGGGAGAGGGAGAGGGGAAGGGGTTGTGCACGATGGGATTTCAAACCTGGAGCTTGTCTTGTACAAACAACAACAACAACAGCAGTAGCACTTGTTGCCCCCCCACACACACACACACACACACCACCTTTCCCAGAGCGTCTTGTGGGGTCGTTGGGGTGGGGGCGGGTGCTGAGTTAAATGGGGGGGGGGGGGGCGTGGCTGTGAGGTGGAGGGAACGGAGGAAGGGGGAAAGGGGGAGGAACGGTGACCGAAAGCGCAGTGAGAAAAGATGGTAACGGATTTGAGATGGTTGGGCGTGAGGGGGTGGGGGTGGGGGGGGGGAGTAATCCTAGAGAGCAGGGGGAAGGCAGTTGAGGCTGGGGGGGGCGGTTGCGGTCAGAGTGGCTGAAGACTCATCCGCCAATGGGTGGTGGGGGGAGAACGTGGGCCCGAGTGGGGAGTGTAGGGGGGATGGGATGGCGGGTGGGCGGAAGAGAGATGGGGGTTGGGATGGAGAGAGAGAGAGAGAGTGTGGGGGGAGAGAGGGGGGGGGTTGCGGAGCGGAGCTGCTTACCTTGGTGGGGAAATAGCGGCTGAACTTGAACTTCTTGAGGCTGACGGTCATGGAGTAGGTTCCGAAGAAGAGGATGAAGGACATGAGGGCGAGATCGGGCACGTAGGGGCAGGACTTCCCCCCCAGTTGCCCCCCATATTTCAGGCATTCCTTCTTACTCAGTTGGCTCCAGTCCAGCTCTGTGGTGTTAAACACATCGTACTTGGGAAAGGGAGGGAGAGAGATAGAGAGAGAGAGAGAGAGAGGCTCAGTCATAGGGCTCACTGTCAGCACCGAAACACAAGGGTTTCACTCTTAACTCTGCGGCTTAAGTCTTATCCTATGAGACGAGAGAAACCTTCCTCCCCTCAACAGCCTCTTCCCCCAACGGGGGGGGGGGGCGGACAAGTACAAGTTGTTGTTGTTGTTGTTGTTGTCGAGGATCGATGTTATGAATGAGTGTTTCAGGGTCTCGGTGGCCTGCGGTGTGAGACTGGCGGAGCCGGGCGATGTTGAGGAGGTGGGGGAAGCCAAAGCGGGTCATGATACAGATGTGGATAGTTGAGGGTCAAACAAGAAGAAACTTGGCTCTCATCCAGGGCTTGATGTCTGACAGACATTCTGTCAGGACAGCAGTTGGGTCCTGGAGTCAAGAGTGGAGGCAGGGAGGTAGAGTTGGGTGTCAGAGCCCTGAGGAACTCCGCACGAGACGGTCCGGGGGCTGGAGAAGAAGCCGTTCGTGGAGATGAAGAGCAGGCGGTGTGAGAGGTACGATCAGAACCAGTCAAGGCCAGAGCCGTGAAGGTTAAGGTGAGAGGAGAGGCGGTGGATGAGGATAGAGTGGTCGACGGTGGTTGCAGCAGCAGAGAGGTCAAGGAGATCGAGGAGGCAGAGGGATCCCCGGTCACAGATGGACAGAATGTGTCTCTTTGGATGAGGGCTGTTTCTGTGCTGTGGGATGGCATGGAAACCCGAATGGAGGGGTTTGAGAAGGGAGTGGTGGGAGAGGAAGGAAGGAGTGAAGCTGAGAAGCAACGACTCGTTCCAGGACCTTGGAGAGGAAAGAGAGATGGTCGGAGTTGGGGCGATGGGACAGGGTGAAGAAGGGGCGCTCGGGTTTAACGTCTCATCCAAAGGACGGGGTCTCCGACAATGCGGCTCTACATCCCTCCCCCCCTCCCCCCACCGCCCGCAACCCCCAGCAATGCACTGGAGCGTCAGCCAATAGACTGCATTGGTCAACAAAGAGCAGTGAGTGTTTGTTGAGCCGTGTGGAAAGGACAAGGTTTTGCCGGTTGCTTTTCAGTGGCATTTGCTTGTGAATTCCTATGGGGGGGTGGGGGGCTATCCCAATTCACAGCTCACCCCCCCTCCCACCCCACTGACATCTCACTGTTCACAACATCTACGCTCAGGGCTGTGACATCCACCCTCTGAGCTGGAGGTCAGGCGAGCCGAGGCGAGGCAGGGAATGAGGGAGCGGTGAGCTGACCTGTGTGCAAGACGGAGAGGCCCTGGGGAGGAACTCTCCCACCAGGCGCACGCTGGGACGCTCCGCTTGGCAAACACAGCCTCTCGGGAAAGGTGAAGGGAGACCTGGAGCCTCTCTCCCACCCCCACCACCTCCACGCGCCCCCCCCCTCCCCCTGCGCCCCCTCCCACACCAAATTCGACACGACTGAGCGCTTGACCAGCCACATCAGTGACTGACTTGTGGGCAGCCTCCAGATCTCGCTGACCTTCTCCAGTTCTTAGCAACCGTCACAGTCCACTCACGCCAGCCCCCGAGCCAGCGAGCAAGTTACCTGTAATATTAATAATAATAATAATCATCCTTGTTTATCGTGTCTGCGTGTGCGAACTGACTATGTTTTGCGGGCAGCCGATTGCGCGCAGCGACGTCCCACAAACCGTCGTGGATTGAGCGACAAAAATCCTTATTATTTTAGCATTATTTTTATTTTATTGTCACGAAATTATGAACCGTGAAAGTGATCCGCCAATCGACTAACGATTGGGTAAACAGAGGCCCAATGTTTCGCTCGGGCCAAGAATCGAACCCGGGTCCTCTCATTTGAGAGGCGAGGGCTCTAACCACTGAGCTACAGGACCGGATGATGTCTGCGCATCCAGTAACCGTCAACAACAACAACAACTAACAGTTATCCGAACCACCCCGAGAGCTCCACAGGCCTTCAGCACCTCCACATGGAGATTTCCCCACCTGGATGGAGCACCCGGTCACTCTCTCTCTCCGCTTTGGGGGTAGGATGGGGGGGGGGGGGGGGGGTCGCAGGGTGGGGGAGGGGGTGAGAAATTGGGGGAGCGGGTGGGGAAGAGGGATTGTCGACCCAGATGCTAACGGTAGAGACAGAGGAACAGACAGCTATAGGTGAGGAGGTGGGGGAGAGGGTTTCAGACCAAACAACAACAAATGACATTTATTTTCAGGGTTGGGACATCTCAAAGTACTCCACAGGGTTCAGAGGTTGTGGTGGTAAGTCCCCATTCCCCCCCCGCACATGTTCCCCCCCACCCCACACACACCCAGCCCACCCCCCACCCTGGAGGACCACCCCAGTAACAATAAGACAGCAAGACCTTCCACCTGCTGTTGGTTGAGTCTCACTGTTGCTCGCCGTGGCTGGGGGTCACCACTCCTCCCCCGAGAGGTAGTCTTTGGCTCCGATGTCCAGCGGCTGGTACCCCCCCTCCCTGGGGAGACACAGACACCAGCCGGCCCCCGACACGTCCACATCCTCAAAGGCCCTCAACGCCCTGAAACCGTCCACCAGGTCCCCGCTCCCTGGCAGGGTCTTCAGGTAACTCCAGGTCAGAACACTTCCCACCAGCTGCCAGAGACGGTGGGGAGAGAGCGAGAGAGAGAAGGGGCGCGGAGGGGGGGTCAGGGAGAAGTGGGGGTGTGGGGAGAGAAGGGGAGCCGGGGAAGAGGGCGGAATTCACACAAAGTCAAGATACAATTTACACAACAACAACAAATGACATTTACACAGCGCCTGTCACGAGGGGAGGACGTCTCGAAACACCCTCCGGAATTCAGGAGCTGTGGGTTCGACCCCCAACCCTTCCCCCCCCCCACACACACCCCGTCCCCCCACACACACCCCAATCGCACACGTCAAGGAATGTTATAGCTCCTGTATTCCAGGCTGCAATCTTTAGCTCGGGGGTGACAGAGTGAGGGGGTGGGGGGGGGGGAGGGAGAGAGAGAGAGAGCCCTTATTGTTGGAGGTGCCCTCCCCCTCCATAAAATTGCTCCCCCTCTCGCCTCCTCTCGGCTGTTTTTCGGGGACATTTCTGAGCTCGAACTGTTTGGCCTCAATAATACAGTGACTGCACTTTACGGCGAGTCTGTCCTGCGAAGCTCGGTGACAAAAGTCGCCGCCTGACTGACACGGAATATTATCATCACTATTAATAACTGAACGTTCCTGCGACTTTACGATGCTCTGATACGGTACATCAGGCCATCGGACACCCTCTCGGATGATGGCCCCATATCCCGCAGATTCAATTACTTTCCAATCAGCAGTAGGACACGGTGTAGCAGCAGTCAGAGCGGCATAACACTGATAACACTCTCTCCGCTTATACACAGCAGATTCACTCTCCCCCACCCCCCCTCCGCCTCCTCCTCTCTCACTCTCCCTCCTTCCGCCCCCCCCCCCCCACCACCTCCCTCCCACCCTCCCTCCCTCCCTCCGCCACTAGCAGACGGAGAGGAGCAGCACGACCCAGTCAACAACAACAACAACTTGTACTTTCCACCGGCCTGACCCGAAGATGGGGAAGGATGGGGGGGGATTAGATAGCGACAGAGGGAGAGAGAGCGACAGAGGTTCGTGGAAGCGATGGTGGAACGTCAGGACAACAGGAGCCCGGAGCCAGCCGTGAGGAGGCAGCGGGATGTGGGTTTGGTGGGGGGGGGGGGGGCGGGCGGTGGGGGGTGAACGGGTGGGAGAGGGAGGGAGGGAGGGAGGTGTCGGGGCGCGAAGGGATATGAAAACGAGTGAGAGGGTCTTGGAATCAAATAAAAATAATAATCCTGGCCTTTGATGCAGCGCCTTATCACGTCTTCGAGGCGTCTCAAAGCGCTTCACGGGATACACTGCGAAGTGAAGTGACTGTGTATTTTGTGGGCGAAATCTGGAGACTCACACACTCACTCACTCACACAATCCTACACACAGACACACACTCTGACACACACACACACACACTGACACACACGCACACGGGCAGTATAAAGATTTCTCCTTTAACGAAAACCCTCTTTCCCGGAACAAATGCTTTGAAGAAATTGCAATTAATACGGAACCCAGGAATCGGCTCAATAATTGAAGACTTTTCATTAGCATTTCACTGTAGGCAGCGCCGGCGCAGCCCAGCGCCACTCACTCACACCCGCCCACAGATCAGACACTGCATCAGTTCGACTGCGTGTGAGGTATGTGCGACTGCGTGTGAGAGTATGTGCGACTGTGTGTGAGAGTATGTGCGACTGTGTGAGAGAGGTGTGACTGTGTGTGAGAGAAGGTGCGACTGTGTGAGAGAGAAGGTGTGACTGTGTGAGAGAAGGTGCGACTGCGTGTGAGAGTATGTGCGACTGCGTGTGAGAGTATGTGCGACTGCGTGTGAGAGTATGTGCGACTGTGTGTGAGAGAAGGTGTGACTGTGTGAGAGTATGTGCGACTGCGTGTGAGAGTATGTGCGACTGCGTGTGAGAGAAGGTGCGACTGTGTGTGAGAGAAGGTGTGACTGTGTGTGAGAGTATGTGCGACTGCGTGTGAGATAGTGCGACTGCGTGTAGAGTAGTGCGACTGCGTGTGAGAGAAGGTGCGACTGTGTGTGAGAGAAGGTGTGACTGTGTGTGAGAGTATGTGCGACTGCGTGTGAGAGTATGTGCGACTGCGTGTGAGAGTATGTGCGACTGCGTGTGAGAGTATGTGTGACTGTGTGTGAGCGTACGTGACTGTATGTGAGTGTGTGTGAGTTTGAACGTGAGACTCTGTGAGTGAGATTGTGTCAGGACTGGTGAGAGCGAGAACGTGACTGTGAGATGGATGGGATGAAGAGAAAAAAAAGACTCGTTATGGGAACTTTGCTCAGTTAATTACATAAATTACAGGATAGAGCGAGAGATACCGAGAGAGGGAGCCAGAGAGGGGAGAGAGAACAAGAGAGAGAGAGAGGAGAGAGCGGAGAGAGAGGAGAGAGTAAGAGAGAGAGTGCGACAGACAGACAGACACACAGACAGAGAGAGCAAGAGAAAGAAAGAGAGAGACGGACAGACAGTAGACAAAGAGACAGACAGCGAGAGGGGGCAATGCTGGCAGAGGGTACTTGTGATGTGAATGGGAAAGTGGCAAAGCAAGAGACGGAGAGAGAGAGAGAGAGAGAGAGAGAGAAGGAGAGAGTGTTTGTGAGGAGAGAAAGTCACTGTAGTTTCCCTGTGATGGGCAGCGAGATGATGGGAGAGAGGTTAATAACAGGGGCCACACAGTCTGCGCTACACTTGGCAACTGGTCAGAGTGTCCGTCAATTGCGTGAGGTCAGGGGGAGAGGGGGAACGAGAGAGAAAGAAGATGGAACGAGAGAGAGGGGGAGAAAGAGAATGAACGAGAGAGGGGGAGAGGGAACGAATGAGAGAGAGAGAGAGAGAGAGAGAGAGAGGGGGGGGGAGGGTGACAAGGGATTAAAACGAGCGAGCGAGAGCAAAGAGTTGGAACGAGAAGAGTGATAGAGCACAAGAGCGAGAGGGAGAGAACAAGAGTGAGTGAGAGAGAGAGGGAGAGAGAGAGAGAGAAAACGAGAGTGAGGGAGAACAAGAGTGACCTCGAAGGAGAGAGATGCTGAGCTCAGGGAGATGTTAGTCAATGGCTGGTTTGAGCCGAGCTTCACCGCATGCGCTCGCTCAGGGAGTTTGTGCACGATTTTGCCCTCGACCACACTCCCCTCTCCCCCTCCCATCATACACGCACTCCAATCACTCTCTCTCTCTCTCTCTCTATATATATATATATATACCAATACTGTAAAGTGTAGTGACTGGGGACACGTCAGCCAGTTTGCACACAGCGACGTCCTCGCGAACAGGGGTGAGCGGGCGATTGATTTCATTGGGGTGGGTGGAGTGGGGGGGGGATGGTGATGGAGAGATAGAGAAGTGGAGATTGTCGGCGAGGAAACTCTCTTCTCTTTTCCACTCGCGCAGCGGGATGGGTGGGGGGGGATGGGTTGGGTGGGGTGGGGAGGGAGATCTTTAAAATCCGCCTAGATGAAGCCTGGACGAAGAGTGAGGGTTAAAGGTCCCCTTTGAAAGATGGCGTCAATGATAATACAGTGCTCTCTGCCCCCGTATCCAGCCCATCGAGCTACCGGGCAAGAGGATGTGAATCTGGTACTACTCAACCTCGAGAGGGTGGGGTTGAGGGAGTGGGGTGAGGCTGGGGTGATGTTGAGCAGTAGTGGGGTGAGGTTGGGGGTGATGGTGAGGAGGGGGTGGGGTGAAGGAGAATGGGGTGAGATTGGCAGGAGTGGGAAGTTGGGGTCAGATCGGGGGGAAGGGGAGGCTGGGGGTGAGATTGGGGGTGGATGGGTAATAGGTGAGGGATGTGGGCGAAGGGCTGTGTTCGGGTGTGGGTAAGGGAGAGTGGGGTGAGATTGGGGGGAGGGGTAGGTTGGGGATAAGACTGGGGGTGAGAGGAGTGGGGTGAAGTTGGATTGAAGTTGAAGTGAGGGTGGAGATGCGGGTGAGGGGCTGGGTGGGGGTAGGTGAGGTGCGGGTGGGGGTAAGGTGAGGGTGTGGGTGTGGGACTGGGTTTGGGTGTCGATGAGGGGGAGTGGGGTGAGGTTGGGGTTGAGGGGCTGGGTGGGTGAGGCTGGGGTCAGGTGAGGGTGAAGAGATTACAGCAGGCATTTCATTACGATCAGAGCAAACGTGGAGCAGTTGAGGTTGGTTTAAGATGCCGCAGGCCAGGAAAAGGATCTCATTAGGGCATCTCTGGTCCCACCTCATTTCAAGGCTGGATGGTCCTGCCTTATCTCGGCCTGGCCCCTGACACCAGAGATCAGTCGCTCGCTCACACCAGCTGAGATGCGATGCGTAAAAATCTCCGCACCTCTGCTCTGGCAATGCTCCCTCTGCCTTTCAGGCGGCCAAGTACGAGGCAGAGCGAGCATTGCCAGAGCGAGTGGTTTGCCCCCACTTTACTGAGCAGAGATGTCAGAGACTCAGCTGCGTCGTTGGAACCTGTTGGCTTTTCCTCCCTTTGATGTCGTGGGATCGTAGGCCGGGTGGGCCAAGCAGGGGGCAAGGGCAGGTTGCGCGGGGCTGGAGGGGTCGAGGGTGGATGGGGAGGGGCTCGTGCCAGGGGAGGTGGGGCTCGGCGCAGGGCTGGGGACAGGGTACGGGGATGGGTGGAGTGGAGTTGGATGGAGGCAGGGACTGGGTGGGGTCTGGGGGCCGGGGGCAGGGCAAAGCTAGGCTGGTGGGGGTGGGGGCGGTGGGGCTGAGGGCAGGACAGGGGGAGGTGATTACCTGGGGGAGGAGCATGGCCACCAGAATGCCCACCATGACGCTGAGATTGTCTTCGAACCACAGCGAAATAGCGTCAACACAGCCTCGAGCGTAGATATAGCCATCGGTCTCCACTCGCTGTCAACAGCAACACACACACCATTAACCTTGATAACACCCACCACCACCACAACAGCACCCGCTACCACCCACAGCAACACACACACCATTAACCTTGATAACACCCACCACCACCACAACAGCACCCGCTACCACCCACAGCATCACCCACAGCATCACCCACAACGCTAGGACGGAGCACTACGATGGGAATGACCGAGCTCCTGACAGAGGAGAGGTTCAGCGACAACAGATGATATTACAGATGGGGGTTAGGATCAAGGAGGGGTAGAGGACAGGGAGGGTGGGGGTAGGAGGGTGACCGAAGGTGCAGTCGAAGAAGAAGAGGGTCTCGAGACTGGCCTTGAAGGAGGCGAGAAGGGAGGGAGGGGGGGGGCGAGGCGAAGGGTCTGTGGGATGGAGTTCCAAAGGGTGGGGCAGAGAGGCTGAAGGTCAGACTGCCGATGGTGTGTCCGAGCAGGTGGGGGATATGGGGGAGCAATCCAATTGGGGCAAGGACTCCAGATGAGTCAGGAGAGAGTCTGAACGTGGACATGGAGTGAGATCCCCTTATCCCCTTCCCCTCCTCCCTCCCCTCTCTCTCCCACACCAACCACACCCCCACCCCCCCCCCCACCCACACGGCCCCAAGCTCTTACCTCCAGCCGGAGCGCCTGATAGCCACACTGAGTGTTGATCACATCGCCCTCCTGACAGAGCACACAACACGGCAGGTATACGCAATTTGCCTTCGCCCACAAACACGCACTCACACTGTACACACGCACTCATTTACGCACACCTACAAAGGTACACACGTACGCACTACACAGACAAACGCACTCACGCACGCACACACAATACACATGCTATCATATACGCGCACATATAAACATACACATTGACACACCTCACAGACATAGGCAATTTGCACGCACACAGACGCACATACGCAGACACGCAGTTCGCTAGCAGAAACCTTGACCCTCTTCCCCCCCCCCCTCCGCGCGCCCCCCACACATCCTACAATCCCCCCTGAGGGTCTGCGTGTGCCCTACAGGCACTGCGTGTGGATAGACCGTTCCCATCACCCTCCTCTCTCAATGACAAGTCACGAGCCTTTCAGTCGGACAGGAAATTGGACGGAGAATTGCTGCGAGATCATCCCAATCTGCTTCACAGCAATCTGTTTATATTCTCCCTCTCGGGAAATCTCTTGCTGTAGATTAGATACTGCTGCGGGTGTCTTATTCCCTCCTGTCTGGCTGTCTGGCTGAATGTCTGGCTGTCTTGCTGACTGTCTGTCTGTCTGACTGTCTGGCTGACAGACAGACAGATAGACTGACTGACTGTCTGACTGACTAGCTGGCTGACTGGCTGGGAGCTCGATCAGACATAAAGATATTAAAAAAACTAATTAAAAATGCAAGAGTTGAACCATTAACCAGTCAATATTTGGGGACAGCTAAAGCATTATTATCGCGAGTCGGAGAATTACAGTCAGGGCTTCAGACAATTAATGTGGAGAGTAATTCAGGTGCTGAGAGAATCCTCACAGGTTATTACAGAGAATAATAAGGGAGGGAGGGAGGGAGGGGTGGGAAGGAGGGAGGCCTTTCACGTCAGGAGGACATTCCAAGGCGCTGGACAGACAGAGTTACGGATCCGAGCTGAGGGTCGGAGTGGGGGAGGTTGAAGGGCAGTGGGGGGGGGAGCAGGGAGATCGAAAGCGCAGTCGAAGAGGAGGGTCTCGGGGTGAGTCTTGAAGGTGATGAGGGAGGGGGCGAGATGGAGTTCCAGAGGGTGGGTGCAGAGTGGCAAAAGGCCCGCCGAGGGATAGTGGGGCGAGCAAGGCGGGGGACGTGAAGCAGGCAGGAGCCCGCTGAGTGGAGGGAGCGAACAGGGTGGTGGGGGGTTAGGAGGTGGCAGAGGTCGGGGGTAGCAAAACCATGGTGGGCTTTGAAGGTGAGGACCAGGATCTTGAACTGTATCCTCTGTGCGACGGGAAGCCGGTGGAGTCGGGCGAGGATGGGGGTGGATAGGGTCGCGGAGCCAACGGGGAGAGCCTCGGCTCAACAAGACGTTCAACTGGAGAAAGTTCGCTCTCGTCCAGGATTGATGTCTGGTGGACATTCTGTCAGGACAGCAGTGGGTCCTGGAGTCAAGGGTGGGGGCAGAGACACACACACACACTCACACACACACACTCACTCACACAGACACACACTCACGTACTCACACAGACACACACACACACACACTGAATTGATTACCATTCCCCCCTCCACTCCTGGCAACGGCTCACATTGCACTGCATCGAGCTCAGTAACTCACGGTGAATTAAATTGCTTTATTGACAGCCCTCTCGGCCTCCGCCCACCCCCCCCCCCCCCCCGTCCCCCCCACCCCCTCTCCTCTCCCCCGTGGTGGCATTCCGCAATCTAACTCATAAATCAGGAGTGAGAAGCAGGAGTCAGGACGCTCATTATTGAAACAGGATTAATTTTTGGCCGAGAGCGCACGGCCTCAGCCGGACAGACAAACTCTCCTCTGGCGCCGCAGTCAGCACTCACCGCAGTCAGTGCTTTCATCAGCAGAACTCGTGCGGCACATCGTCTGAAAGCGTTTCACGCAATCCTACTGTCCAGGTGCAGAGACACTGGGTGTTTGTGGGCAAATAGCAGCTTCCACGTTTGACCCCCTCAGCAACGTCCCCGTCAATAATAATCCTAGCATTTGCCCCTTGTTGTGTCGGGGCTGGCGTGGTGGGGGGGGGGGGGGAGAGGGGGAGCGCTGGGGGTGGGGGGAGCGCTGGGGGTGGGGGGAGCGCTGGGTGGGGGGAGCGCTGGGGTGGGGGAGCGCTGGGGTGGGGGGAGCGCTGGGGGTGGGGGAGCGCTGGGGGTGGGGGGAGCGCTGGGGGTGGGGGAGCGCTGGGGGTGGGGGGAGCGCTGGGGGTGGGGGGAGCGCTGGGGGTGGGGGGAGCGCTGGGGGTGGGGGGAGCGCTGGGGGTGGGGGGAGCGCTGGGGGTGGGGGAGCGCTGGGGGTGGGGGGAGCGCTGGGGGGTGGGGGGAGTGCTGGGTTGGGGGTGGGGGGGGAGCACTGGGCTAGTGGGGAGCACTGGCCTGGGGGGGGAGCGCTGGGCTAGTGAGGAGGGGAAGGGTGGGGGGGCGGGTGTGACTGACCTGCTCCCGCACACAGCATGTGTAAGGCACGCCACATGCAGAGGGACCCGGGGCCTGACATGCGTGGTACTGATTGGCCTCCCAGTCCATGTACTCGTCGCCCCCACAACACGCAAACTGTCGGCAAAAACAGAAACACATAATAAATACCAACAACATGTCTGACAATGGCTACAGCTGCTCCTATTTGCAGGGGTTTGGGGGGGGGGGGGGGGGGGGGGGGGGAGAGAGTGGGGGGAATGGGGATGATTGGGTGGCTCTTTCAAAGATCCAGCACGGGCCCCGATAGCCCGAATGGCCTCCTCCTCTGCTGTAATATTCTATAATTCTATGCTTCTACCTCCGGAAAGCGATCCCAAGCGCTTCGAACGGTTTCCTGTAAAGTGTAGTGACTGTGTGTTTGTGGGTGGCACACGCTCGCTCGCAGCGAGGATCGGTGTTATTCCTGGATGTAACGGGAGCAATCCTGTGGTCGGGAGTCGGGGTCGGCGGCGTGGGGGGGGGGAGGATTGTAGATGCACGTGCGTGTGCACGTGTGTTGAGTTATGTACGTGTATGCAGCAATCACTATGCGTGTGTTGGCGCGTGTGTATCGGGCAGTGTGTGAGGCTCGGAGCCGCGTGTGAGCGTGTGAGCCTGGCGTGCGCTCTGACGCTTGCTGGGAGCACAGTTGAGGGTGTAGTGAGAGCAGCTCAGTCTCTCTGCGGCGACGAGATGAGCTTCACTTAGAAAACCCATTGACATTTCCCCCTCCAGTTCCTTCAAAACCCTCGCCGCGAGCAGAGAGAGAGAGAGAGAGAGAGAGGGACTGAGCCAGTGAATCGCTTCTCTTATTGACCCGCTGTCCTCACACATGGCTGGTCACGCGCGCGCACACACACGCACACCGGCCAGTGTCCGAGCTCAGACTCCCATCTCTGACAACCACCTCCCACCCCAGACGGAGTCTCGACGCTGCTGCGCCGAGGGTTCCTTCTTCAAGGACACGGCGTCCGGCAAAAAAAAAACAACGACGACGACAACTTGCTTTTACACCGCCCCCATCACGCCGGGCAGCGTCTCTCTCTCTCTCTCTCTCTGTCTCTCCGAGAGCTTGACCGCGGTGGAGCCAATTTGCACACAGCAACGTCCCCACAATCAGCTGTGAAATCAATGGTTTTTGAATGGGGGGGGGGGGGGAGGAGTGGGGTGGGTGGGGGGGAACGGAGGGTGAGGGGGAGAGGAGGGGTGGGTTGCGGGGGGTCGGGGGGGTTGGAATTGTCAGCCAGTACACCGACAGACCCCTTCTTGAGCTCTTAATTTCTGCCGACGGCGAAAACTGACGACCAGCAAGGCAACAGCTTCATTTATATAAAGCGCCCATCACAACAACAACAACTTGGATTTATAGAGCGCCCTCCACGCCGGACGGCGTCTCGGAGCGCTTAACCAGGCCGGGAAGCGAGAGGAGGGAGAGAGAGAGAGGGAGAGAGAGAGAGACGAGAGAGCGGAACGAGAGGAAGGAAAGGAGAGGGAGAAAGGGAGAGAGGAGAGGAGAGAGAGGGAAACAGGTCGCACGGTTGGTTGACAGGAATTCAGTGTGAGGATTTTTTGAGCAAGGGGTGGTGGGGGGGTGGTGGGGGGGGCGTTGTGAGCAGCCAGCGGTGGGGGGGGGGGGGGGGGGGGGAAAGGGGGCGAAGACAATGTGTGCGAACGCGATAGACCCAAGGCCAGACCTCACTGCAGCAGGTGAAGGCTTTGTGTGAAAGCTGCCAGTACTCTCTAAGGCTGGTGTGAAATGAAAGGCAGGCGGAGAGAGGGGGAAGGGGGGTGGGGGGGGGGGGGGGGAAGAAGAATGAATGCCTTTGTAATTACACCCTTGGTTTGTAGTCACTCACTCAGCATCGCTCTCTCTCCCCCCCCCCACACACACCACCACCCCCGCCATCCCCTCCAGAAAGGAACGCAGTAGGCAGCAGGTGTCTGGCTTCAGATCATAGCTGAGAAAGTCAAACAGACTGACTGTGTCACTGTCACTGCCGACCCCCCCCCCGCCCACCCCACTGCCCCTCACACACACTGCCTGTCCCCCCCGCAATCACACACCGCCAACCCCCCCCCCCCCGCCCACCCCACTGCCCCTCACACCACTGCCCCTCACACACACTGCCTGTCCCCCCGCAATCACACACCGCCAACCCCCCACCCACCCACGCACACTGCCCCTCACACACACTGCCTGTCCCCCCCGCAATCACACACCGCCAACCCCCCCCCCCGCCCACGCACACTGCCCCTCACACACACTGCCTGTCCCCCCCGCAATCACACACCGCCAACCCCCCCCCCCCGCCCACGCACACTGCCCCTCACACACACTGCCTGTCCCCCCCGCAATCACACACCGCCAACCCCCCACCCGCCCACGCACACTGCCCCTCACACACACTGCCTGTCCCCCCGCAATCACACACCGCCAACCCCCCCCGCCCACCACACTGCCCCTCACACACACTGCCTGTCCCCCCGCAATCACACACCGCCAACCCCCCACCCACCCACCCACTGCCCCTCACACACACTGCCCCTCACACACACTGCCTGTCCCCCCGCAATCACACACCGCCAACCCCCCACCCACACACACTGACCTCACACGCACTCACTGACCCTCACACATATACATTGTCCCCACCCCAACATACACACACACACTCTCATACACACTTACATACACACTCTCACACACACTTTCTCACTCTCATACACACTCACATACACACTCTCACACACAAAGTCATACACACTCTCTCACACACTTTCTCACTCACATACACTCTCTCACACACTCTCATATACACTCTCACACACACACACACTCACTCACATACACTCTCTCACACTCTCATATACACTCTCTCACACACACTCACTCACATACACTCTCTCACACGCACTCTCCTATACGCTCACACACACTCTCTCACACACACACACTCTAATGTACACTCACACACTCTCTCACACACACCACTCTCACGTACACTCACACACACTCTCTCACACACACTCTCATGTACACTCACACACACTCTCTCACACGCGCTCATACATACACACTCACAGACACACACTCACACACTCACACACTCTCACACACTGCTATCCCCATGCGAGTCGGGGAGCTGGAAGCTATTTTCCTGACAATCTTTCCCAGCGCGGGGCTGATGCCGGGGCCATTACTGAGCCACACAAAGAATCCTCAGCCTTTTCTCCTCTTTGCTCTGAGAGTCTGGAGAAAAAATGATGTAAGTGGGAAAAAAAATTAAGACTCCTTCAAACACAGCTGTGGAAGCAGGAGAGGGGAAATCAGATCATATCCACTCACTCTCACCAACCACCCCCCCCCCCCCCCACCCCACCCCTAGAATCAGAGAAACATAGAATATTACAGCACAGAAGGAGGCCATTCGGCCCATTGGGGGCCATTCGGCTCTTTGGAAGAGCTCTCGATCAGTCCCGCTACCCCCCCCCACCCCCCCGTGCTCTCCCCCAAACAACAGCAACAACATTATACGTAAAGAGTGCCTTTCACGTCGGGAGGACGTCCCATGGCGCTGGACAGACAGAGTTACGGAACCGATGGGGGGGGGAGGGGGGGAGAGGGGGGGAAGCAGGGAGGTCAAAAGCACGCTTGAGGAGGAGGGTCTTGAGATGGGTCTTGAAGGAAGTGAGGGAGGGGGCGAGGGAGGAGGCGTGGGAGGGGGCGAGACGGAGGGACTGCGGGATAGAGTTCCACAGGGTGGGGGCAGAGTGGCAGGGACCCTGACCCCCACCCCCCCCCCACCCCCAACCCTTCGTCAGCCTGGACTGCGCGAGTTTAAAGTCCCCAACGTGGAGGGTCTGAACCCGCAGCTTCTGTCTCTGAGGCAAGAGAGGAGCCTCCGAGACAGTGAGTGTAGTGACTGTGTAGTTCTGCGGGCGAAAGCAGAAGCAGATTGGCACAGGGCTGTGTCCCCGCCATCGGCCGCGGAGTGAATGCGGACGGTATGAAGGTTCGCTCAGTGGTTGGTAATATAACATCAATTATTCAGTGTTAAACCCAGAGGGAAGATTTCACACCAGAACGGGAACTGCCAGCAATGAATGAGATTTTCCGAGCATTAAAACTGGCCGATCGGACTGAATAATAAATCACCTTTATTTTACTTTCCCGAGCAAATCTCTCTCTCTCTCTCTCTTCTCTCTCTTTCTCTCGTTCTCTCTCCCTGTCTGTCCGTAAATCCAGCAAAGGCAGAGCCGACACAAACCATGATACCAAACCTCCGCCTTACAGCAAGCATAAACTTATTCAGGAGTCCGCAGCCTGAGGCTGACATTAGCGGACGCGGAGCTGAAATCACACAGATATACACACACACACATGCACACCATATACAAACACACACACACACATATACACACACATACGTACACACACACACATACAAATGCAACCTGCGTACACATACACACACATTCACACAACCCATTACAACCCCTGAGCTCTTCCATTGCATGAACTACACATAGTCCGAGTGCCTCCGTCCCTCCCTCTCTTGCTCCCTCCCTCACTCCCTGACCCGCTTGCTCCCTCCCTCGCTATCTCGCTCTCTCCGTCCCTCCTTCCCTCCCTATCTTCCTCTCTCGCCCCCTCCCTCCCTTGCTCCTTCCCTATCTCCCAGCCCCGTTCCCTCTGCCTACCTCTCTATCTCGCTCCCTTGCTCCCTCAGACAGCAAGACTCACCTTGACCTGGATTTTGTCCAGAATGTTTTTGAAATCCAGATCATCGTAGTAATGTCTGATCCCCTCCTGCACGTTAGCCTTGAATATCCCGAGGACCTGAGACACCAGGAAATCATCTTCATCATCAGCGTGAGGAGAGGAGGAGAGAGGGGGAGAGAGAGAGAGAGAGAGAGAGATAGAGGAGAGAGAGAAACGGAGAGAGAGGAGAGGAATTTTTTTTGCCCAGCTGGGTGTCTGACCCATCACGTCTCAAGACCAAACCCAACTGAGAATTCCACGTATCCCACCTACACGTGGAAATCCCCAAGAGAGGAGAGGAGAGAGAGAGAGAGAGAGAGAGACGGGTGGGGGGTGAGGCTGTGGTGGAGCCGGGTGATGTTGCGGAAGTGGGGGAAGGCAGAGAGGGTCATGGCACGGATGTAGGATAGAAAGGACAGTTGAGGGTCAAACAAGACACCATGGTTCAGCGAGATAGTGTAGACTTGCCCCCACCCCACGACTGTATGAGTTTGGAGGAAGATGCCTGGAAAGTTGTATTTTAATGGGCTCGAGGTGGGGGAGGGGGCTTGAGGGGGCTCGAGGGCCCTTTACTCTCAAACTTCTGCTTTGGATGACCACAGACTCTATTGAGGTCTCGATGAGCTTTGTTTCAAAGGGAGCCTCTCTCGCTCGCTCTCAGGCTCTCACCTTGTTCCTGCAGAGCACGAACACCACGATGAAAGTCAACTGGAGACACAAGACGGTGAAAAGAATCCATTGGAACTGTGGGGAGACAGAGAGAGGGAGCGTGAGAGAGAGAGAGAGAGAGAGAGAGCGACTGAGCAGAGGGTTTCCCTCATCTCACAACCTCCATCCACACCCCAATCAACCCACCCAACATAGTCACTACACTTTACAGCAAATCCCCTCTCGCAGCAGCTCTTTGAGCCCGAGTCGATTAGGCGCTGTGTCAAACGAAAGGATTATCAGCATCATTACTATTTATTACTATTATTTATTATCATCATTACTTTTTTTTTTACACACACCCGAAATCATTCCGCAGAGGAAATTTCTCAGTGTTTTTCAGTGATGGATCAGTCAGACCCATAACACAGCCACGGCCCATAGCAATAGATGTTGCATTTTCTTTATATGTCTGAGCTTCTGAAAACAGCCGCTGAGTGATGGAAAATCAAACCCGGAATAAGGGAGGAAGAGAGGGAGAGAAGGAGGAGGAAGGCAGTGAGTGAGGGAGTAAGTGAGGGAGTGAGTGAATGAGTGAGTGAGGGAGGGAGGGAGAGGGGAGTGAGGGAGTGAGAGAATGAGTGAGGGAGGGAGGAAGGAGGGATAAAAAACGACTTTAAATTTCAAGGATCTACGATTGGAAGGAACGAGGGGAGATGAGAAGGAGAGATAAAGCAGGTTTCAGTCGGATGAACGAGCGGTGACATTTACTGCGCCTTCTCATTACATCCGTTCTCAATCTCATTCACAAGCTCCCGGAATCCTCAGCAAACGCCTTCCCCGCAAATTACATTTGTTTTAATACCCAACTGTCCCAGAGACCACCCCCACCTCCCCACCCCGCACACACACACCTACACAGAGCCAATGTCTCATTCCATCTCCTCACTTCCACCCCATGCCCCCCCCCCCCACCCACACACGCTTGCTCTCTCCCTCAGCTCCTTCCCGGAGACCCTCCAAATTGCCCTTACTCTCGTTCAAGGCACGTCTGAAGACCATCTTCCCCCCAACACCCCTCACACTCCATTTTGGCTCCCATTCTCCTCCCTCCATCCCTCCCTGGTGACCTCCCCCACCTCATGTGAAAGGTGCTTGTAAGGCAGAGAGGGTCAGGGCACGGATGTGTCGTATAAACATTGTGTTGGATAAACTTGGGTCTGTGGGCGGGCGGTGCAGGTGGGGGACAGACGTGGGCTGTCAGACTGACACGCGCACAGGCAAACTGTGGGCCAGTGGGTCCGGGTGTAGCCACAGCCCGAGGGGATCGTTGCGGACAGTAATTAAGAGCCGATTTTCCTCGCCGGGAAATCCACAATCCGATCAGCTCAGAGCCTGACTCAGATAAACGTGAGGCCAGAACCTGCTGCTCCTGGGCAGCCACCTGATGGGATTAAAGCTTGTTTCACATCGCCTTAAACACTGCCAACGACACGGCTTATCGATCATGTGCTCAATGGGGCAGAGCCTCTCGCTCTCTCTCTCTCCGTCTACTGTTAAGCGCTCGAGACCTTGCCCCACGTGTGAAAGGCGCTATATAAATGCAAGCTGTTGTCACCTGTCCAATCCCCAAATAATTGAGTGTGTGTATATATATATATATATTGAGCATTTTTAGCCTCAGGGTTACTCAGTGAGAGTTGGAGGGAAGAGAAGTATATTCTGCAACACGGTTTTGAGATCTGGGTTAAAATTCTCATACGTTTTGCACTGCGCAAGGGGAAAGCAATATATTTTGTACGCAGAGCGTACGTGTGTGTCTGCCTGAGAGGGAAAGACGTATGGGCAAGTTGAAGAGAAAAGAGAGAAGGAGATGTATAGCGCTGCAGGAACCAGCGAGTGAGAGGAGAGAGATCTCTCAGCAGACGCGGAGCTCATCTGCGGAGGTGCAAAAGCCAGGGAGAGTGTTTGAGAATGGGAAGCACAGCAGCTTGCATTTATATAGCAGCGTTCAGGCAGAATGAGGGGTGCTACGCAGAGCAATGTAGTTTGGTGGTTAGAGCATTCACCTCGCAAGCCAGAGGACACGGGTTCGATTCCCGGGCAGGTCGGGGGCGAAACCTTGGGGAAGTTTCCTTACAAAACACACAGACGCACGCCTCCGCTAACCAGCAGTGAGTAGGAACCCAGTTGTTAGTTGATTGGAGGTAATAAACTCTAAAAAAAACAACGTGGTCGCTCAATCAGCCCACGACTGTTTGCGGGGACACGTTTCGCCCACAAAATATACAGTCACTACACTTTGCAATTTATTCTGTGAAGCACTTTGAGACGCCTCGACGATGTGATGAGGTGCTATATCAAATGCGAGGGTTATCATCATTATTATTGCACTTGATGTCCTGCAACACATCCCTCCATTCATTTCACCGCTCTTAGTTCCCCTCACACTTTCATTCTTTCGCCCTCTTTCGCCCTCGTACGATCTCTCGCTCCGTCTTCCCTCTCGCTCTACCTCTCTCTCCCTCTTTCACTCTGTGTTCCCTCTCCATCCCTCTTTCCCTGACTCGCTCTGTAACATAACATGTAGGAGCAGGAGTAGGCAATTCGGCTCTTCGAGACTGCCCCGCCATTCACTCATGGCCGATCTTCTAATCTAACTCCAGCTCTCTTTCATTCTTTCTTGCTCTGTCCCCACCGTCTCTCCATCTGCCTCTCTTTCCCCCTCTTTCTCTCAGTATCTGCCTCTCTCTCCCCCCCCACCCCTTTCTCTCCCACACTCTCTTACCCAATCCTCCCGCCACACGCTGTAACAGTGGATGTCTGGATCACGGTTGCGAGCGTTGGGAGGTTGGCTACGTACCGCGGGGCTATTAACACTGATCCGCAGAGTAAACCTCCAGAGCAGCACTTCACCTGGTTTTATAAATAAGCCATTTGATGCTCAGCTGAAACAACTCAACCTGCCCATTAGCCATGTCACCAGCGGTTTGCCCGAGAGATTCATTCATCTATTTGCTGTCAGAAGTAATCATCAGTGACGCCAACACAGGCTGAGATGGGCAGTTCCACAGTCTCCATGGGAATCACCGTAGCTCAGTAGTTAGAGCCCTCGCCTCGCAAGCCAGAGGACTTGGGTTCGATTCCTGGGCGGAGGTGAAACCTCAGAAAAGTTTCCTTACTTACTCCACACACACACGCGCACACACTCTCACACACACACACACGCACACACGTGTCTGTTTACCAGCAGCGATTAGGAACCTGGTTGTTAGTTGGTTGGTGGATCACTTTCCGGGGAGTAATAATTCCTTCCTTCGGAAAAAAAAAAATTTCCGTGACTAAATCCACGACTGTTTGCGGGACACTGGCTGTGCGCAATTGGCTGCCACGTTCCCCCCACAAAATACTCAGTCACTACACTACGCAATGCATCCTGTGAAGCTCTTTGAGACGACTGTATCAAATTAAGGATTATTGCTGTTGGCATTGATGATAATAATCATCATGGGCCATAATAATCAACAACATCACAATAATCTGGATTCACAACCACATGTAGACAGGACAGTCAGCTGTCACTCGCAGATATTACAGCAAAGTATTAATCAAATAGACGGCACATGCAGTGTTACCGATGTGGCTATTAATCGAGAGGAACCAGAGAAAATCAGGAAATATATCGACTGAATGCAGACGCAATGCAAAACCAACAACTCCTACGTGCATCGGTGCCAGTGAGTAAGACTATGGCCTGACACGATAACTGCTGAACAAAATATTAACCTCAACAACAACAGATGACATTTACACAGTGACTTTCACGTCGAGAGGACACCTCAACTGGGGGTTGGGATCAGGAGGGGCTGGAGGGCGGGGAGGTTGGGTGGGAGGAGGGTGGAGGGGATGGGGAGGTGGAGGGGGGCCAGGGGGGGGAGGCGGAGGGCTTGAGGGAGTGATTGATCGTTGGCCAGGACACCGAGTGACTGTGACAAACTCCTTTCTGTTCTTCTGTCGCTCTGCGCAGTCTTTAATGGCGGGAGTTAACCTCTCATCTCCCAATCAGCCTCGCGCTGGGGTGTCAGCCCGACTGTGTGAGCTCAGGGTCACTGAGTGGGGTTGTGGGTTGGGGTGGGGGGGGGTTTGTCCCCTGTCTCGGCCTGACTCACCACTCTGAGCAGCCGCTTGTTGTCTCTCAGGGCCCCCACCATCCCCACGAACGCCACGGAGAAGATGAGGGACCCCAGGAGGAGTAGGACCACCGCCGGGGCCACGAACAAGCCCCCCAGAGTCTTGTTACGCTGTCTCTCCACCTCGGCGTAGGTGCCCACGCACACAATGGCCAGCCCCACCAGCTGCTCAACACAACAACAACAACAACAACAACCACCACCATCACTACTCGTTTATTTATACGCTGCCCTTCCCACGGGGCTGTGGTTCAGAGTATTTCCCACTCTCTCTCACCCCATCCTCCTCTCCCTTCTGCCCCCTTACTCTCTCCATTTGCTTCTCACTCACTCGCTCGCTCCCTTACCACCTCCCTCACCCACCCCCTCACTTCCTCCCTCCCTCCCTCCCTCCCTCCCTCATCCAGTCCCTCCCTCATCCACCCATCCCTCCCTCCTTCCCTCCCTCCCTCCTCCCTCCCTCTTCCACCCACCCCCTCACCCTCCCTACCTTCTTCACCCTTCACTACCTCCCTCACCCCCTCCCTCACTCCATCACACCCTTCCCTCACTCACTCACACTTACCCAGAACAGTGTGGCCGAGACCACCAGAGTCAGCTTGAGGATGTAATATTGGAGGTTGGCAGCTGAGCCCATCCTCCTGTTGTCTGGGGAGGAAACCGGTGCTTTGCGCTGTGTCCAGTACCCACACTGTGCTCTGTACACCGTACCCCACACACTGGGCACCCCACACCCTATAGTTAGCCTCACACCGTGTACTCCTCACTGCGTACCCCACACATCACGTACCCCTCACCGTGTACCCCACACCATGTACGCCTCACACTGTGTACCCCACACCCTGCTCTTTACACGGTTCGCCCTCACACTGCTGTATACACTGTACCCCACCGCTGTGTATCCCTCACTGTGTACCCCTCACTGTGTACCCCTCACTGTGTACCCTACACACTGCTCTGTTTGATTTTCCTTCTGCAGCCGAGTGAAAATGAAACCAGGTCCCAGACACACATTCCCCACCTCTGCTTATTTACATAAGGTAGTGAGGCCCGGAAATCACATACCTTACGTCATGTTTCCCATCTACCTGGTCAAGCAGGTTTAGCCAATTTCCCAGATCATTGTAGCAAGGGCTAACGCACACCCTCACACACGCCCTCACATACACTCACACGCGCACCCTCACATATACTCACACGCACACCCTCACACTCACGCACACAGCGTCACATCCACACACGTGCCCTCCCTCCCAGGCCCTGCTGTGCTGGATTGATAGTCTGGACTGTAAAGTTAAAGTTAATCGATCGGCTGATCGCTTTCCGGGGATAAAAATCCCTCAAATTAAATTAGTCACTCAATCCACGACTGTTTGTGGGGACGCTGCTGTGTGCAATTGGCTGCCATGTTTCATCCACAAAATAGAGAATCAATTCACTATATCCTGTGAAGGGCTTTGAGACATCTCAACAACGTGATAAGGCGCTGTATCAAATGCAAGGATTATTATTATTGAAGTCCCAGCGCCTTTTTGATGTCCTCCTGACCTGAGAGGCACTATACCAATGTAACTTGTTGTTGTTGTTGTTGTTGTTGATGCTCGTGTGTGTGTGTGTGTTGGGGGGAGTGTGATTGGGTGGGGGGGGAGTGGGGTGGGGGAGTGGGCTGTTACAGAACACACCTGAACCCGCAACCAGAGGCGAGAACGATAGAGAGAGTACAAGCAGCTGAGCCTGGAGGACACAAACATGTACAACGATTACATGAATAAAATATAATCCAACACCTTCGGTAGAGAGAGAGAAAGGCGAGAGCGAGAGCGAGAGCGAGAGAGAGAGAGAGTGCGAGAGAGAGGGAGAGAGAAGGGCAGTCACTTGCTGACGGATGATGAGTGGGAATCAGGAGGCATTGTAATCTCTGAGTGAGTTTCACTGCAGAACATCAAGTCTTTGAATCAATTCGCCGTGTGAAGACCAGACCATTCACTCCGAACAAAAGCTCCACCGACCTCACAACCAAGCGCTGAACAGCAAATCCTTGAGCTAAAGAGGCAGAGCTGTTTGCTATGTTTCTCCCTCCCTCTCTCTCTCTCTCTCCGCTGCATCCTTTATACATCCAGCGACTGAGCTGTGCTCAGTGTTTGCTGCTACCAACGGTCAAGGACCGAGAGATAGAGCCCAGAGAGTGAGACCCACGGAGGGTGGGGGGGGGGTTTAAACACCAGCGCCATTTACGTGGGAGGACGTCCCAAGGTGCTGGACCCGAGCTGGGGGTTGGGAATCAGGAGGGATGGAGGGCGGGGAGGTTGGGGGTAGGAGGGTGACCGAAGGTGCGATGGTTCTTGAAGGAGTTTAGGGACGGAGTGAGGCGGAGGGACTGTGGGATGGAGATCCAGAGTGGATGGGGAGTGGGGGGAGGGAGGTGGCGGGGGGGTGGGGGGGGTGGGGTGGGGTGGGCGGAGAGGCTGAAGAGCCTTTTGAGACGTGTTCCTGACGTGAAAGGCACCGGGGAATATTGTCAGGGAATCCGTGCTCACGTTCCTTCCCATAGAGATCAGCGCACGGCAGAGGATTTAACAACGCCCACAAATTACACCCTCTCGCCAACCCTCACCGCCTCCGCGCCCTCGCCCCCTCCGCACCCTTACCCCCTCGCCCCGTTGCCCACCATCACCCCGATTCCCCACCCCCTGCACTACACTGGGAGCCCGAGCGAAGGACGCTGACGTAAAGGCAAGTCGTTACAGCTTTTGAGAAAGGCTGCGGTGCAGTTTAACGTATTGATTTGATCTTGAAGGGGATTTATCGATCCGCAAGCAATCCAGTGAGTGAGTGCAACACCATCCATCACCGTCTCCCAACTGCAGGAGTGGAGCTGAGGGTCAAACAAAACTGAGCTCAAAGCATCAGCCAATCGTCTATACATCAAAACAACTAGTGGCCGTGATACACTGTACAGTACAGTTATTATTATTATCTTTAATATACAGTTTATACTAAAGATACACTGTATACTAAAGATAATAATATTATTATTATATACTAAAGATACACTCTATACTAAAGATAATAATATTATTATTATATACTAAAGATACACTCTATACTAAAGATAATAATATTATTATTATATACTAAAGATACACTCTATACTAAAGATAATAATATTATTATTATATACTAAAGATACACTCTATACTAAAGATAATAATATTATTATTATATGCTAAAGATACACTGTGTACTCGAGATTAACCGTATACTAATGCTACAATGTATACTACTAATGATAATAATAATAATCCTTGCATTTGATATAGCGCTTTTCACGTCTTATCAACGTCCCAAAGCGCTTCACAGAATAGACAGTAAAGCGAATTGACCGTATATTTGTGGGCGAACGCGGCGGCCGATTGCGCACAGCAATGTCCCACAAACAGTTGTGGATTGAAAATGACCAATTTAATTATTGTTTTTGGTTTTGAGGGATTGTTATTAGGCTCTGTGTGGAGTAAGGAAACTTGCCTGAGGTTTCGCCCTCTGCCTGGAATTGAACTCCGGTCTCTCACTTGCAAAGCGAGTGCTCTAACAACTGAGCTACAGGACTCCCTGATACGACGTATACTAATGCTATACTGTATGCTAATAACACACTGTATAGTGATAACATCTGTATACCAATGATACACTGTACACTGATAACATATGTATACCAATGATACACTGTACACTGATAACATCTGTATACCAATGATACACTGTACACTGATAACATATGTATACCAATGATACACTGTACACTGATAATACACTATATACTAAGACACTGATGACATACTATTGGTATGTGATGTACAAACCCCCTCCATGTTACATGTTGAGACGTCGTGAAGATGCGAAAAGCGCAATATCGAATAAAAGGGATCGTTGTTGTTATTATTATTATTATTATTATTATTATTACTTGGTTTTGTGGTGAACGCAGCAGCCAATTTGCTCGCACAGCGATGTCCCCATAAAAAGCCATGAAATGGCCAATTGTATTTGCGGCCGGAGGATCGTTAGCCAGGACACCCACCGGAAAAAACACTCTCTTCCCTTTTGAAACAAACAGCGCTACGGGAGATTGCTAATGTCCACCTGAATGGGGCACAGAAGGGGAGTGAGCGTTAACGTCTCACCCGAAGGATAGCATCTCCAACACTGCAGTGTCGGCTTAGACTATATGTGTTTCAAGTCCCCCACCTACAGTGTGAATGAATGAGTGAGTGGGGAAACGAGGGAGAGATGGGGCGAGGCGGAAGGGTAGAGGCAAAGTTAGGAGGTGTGGTGACTGACTCAACCATTATGGGCAAACTGTCAAATGGCTCCAGGATAGAGAGATCGGAGATTTGCCACACAGCAGACATGGCCAGAGGAGAATTGTTATCAAGAAATGATCTAAAGAGAGCATTTAGCGCAGACTACTACCATTGGACGGCATCCAAAGCACAGCGCGCCCGCCAAGGCTGGCCAATTAAGGTAGTCGAATGCTTCAACCGATCGCAAAGTAGTTCACTGGGCACCAGCATTTGACTGTCAATGAGCTGAATCACGAAGCTGGAGTAAGTCGGCACTGGGAGCCACAGTCGAGGCGGGAGTTCTGGCGCTTTGCCGGGGGTGCCATTGAGACGTCTCGAAGTGCTTCGCAGAATATACTTTAACTGCGTATTTTGTGGGCCAAACGTGGCAGCCAATTGTGCACAGCCGTGCACCAACCACAAGGAGTTGCGGATTGAGTGACCGCATTTTGCTTGAGGAATAATTACCGCCAACTGACTAACAAGCGGGTTCCTACTGACTGCTTAGTGGTGGGAGCACTCGCCCTCCAACAGAACAAATACATTCCCACAAAGGGAAAAGGCAGGGCATCCAAACCTCCCCGGACGGTTAAGGAAATAAGGAAACAGAAAAAGGAGGTTTATGATAAATGTCAGGTCCAAAACACAGAAGGTAATCAAATTGAATAAAAGGTTAGTAAAAGGTAGGGTGGGTCCAATTAGGGACCAAAGAGGAAATCTTCTTGTGGAGGCGGAGGGCACGGCTGACTTACCGAATGAGGACTTTGCATCTGTCTTCACAAAAGAAGAGGACGCAGCCAATGCCACAGTATCGGAGGAGAGGGGAGAGGGAGAAATTGGATAAGAATAAACCGAGAGGCTTAAAAGGTTGTTGGCGCTCAAGGCAGATAAGTCACCCGGTCCGGTTACTGAGGGAAGTAAGGGTGGAAATAACGGAGGCTCCGGCCACAATCTTTCAATCCTCCTTGGACACCGGAGTGGTGCCAGAGGACTGGAGGGGTTGCAAATGTACGAAGAGGGGCAGGAGGATAAACCTGGGGACTACAGGCCAGTCAGCCTAACGTCAGTAGTGGGGAAACTTCTAGAGATTCTATCAAAAGGCATTTGACAAAGTGCCACATAAGAAACTTGGAAGTAAAATACATGCCAAGTGTATTAAAGGGACAGCGCAGCACGGATACAGAGACAGAAAGCAGAGAGTGGTGGTGAATGGTTGATCTCTGAGTGGAGGAAAGTTTGCAGTGGTATCCCCCAGGGGGTCAGTATTGGGACCACTGCTGTTTTTGATCTAAAATGACCTGGACTTGGGTAGAGTGAGTACAATTTCCAAGTTTGCAGGTGATACTAAGCTAGGAAAAGTAGTAAACGGTGAGGAGGATAGCAGCAGACTGCAAACGGACATAGACAGACTGGTAAAATGGGCCGACACGTGGCAGATGAAGTTTAATGTGGAGAAATGTGAAGCGATGCATTTTGGAAGGAAGAATGAGGAGCGATAATATACGCTGATGATAGAATCTTAAAGTGGGTGAAAGAACAGAGAGACCTGGGGGTTCATATAAGGAAATCTTTGAACTTGGCAGGACAGGCAGATAAACCTGTTTTATAAGCATACGGCTTCAGAATACACACGTCAGGAAGTTATGATGAACCTTTATATAAAACACTGGTGAGGCCTCAGCGAAGAGACGGTGTACAGTTCTGGGCACCACATCTTAGGAAGGATGTCAAGGCAATGGAGAGGGTGCGAAGGAGATTTCCCGGGATGGTACCAGGAACGAGGGACTTCAGTTATCAGGAGAGGCGAGAGAAGCCGGGATTATTCTCCTTGAAGCAGAGAAGGTTAGGAGAAGTTTTCAAAATTATGAGGGGATTCGATAGGGTGAACAAGGAGGAACTATTCCCACTGGCGATCGGGAGAGTCGGTAACCCCAGGACACCGATTTAAAATAGCTGTTAAAAGAAACAGAGGGGAGGGGAGGAGAAATGTTTCCACACAGCGAGTTGTTGGTATCTGGAATGCATTGCCTGAAAGGCTGGTGGGAACCGATTCGATAACGGCTTTTAAGAGAGAAGTAGATAATTATTTGGGGAGGACAAGTTTGCAGGGCTACGGGGGGGGGGGAGAGCGGGGAGAGTGGGGTTGATCAGGGCTATGGGGAGAGAGCGGGGGAATGGGATTGAATTGGAAGCTCTTTTCAAAGAGCCGGCACAGACACGATGAGCCGAATGGCCTCTTTTTGTGCTGTATAATTCTATGAACTATCTGCCACGTTTCGCCCACAAAAATCTGCAGTTAATTCACTTTACATTATATCCTGTGAAGCGCTTTGAGACGTCTCGAAGACGTGATGAGGCGCTTATATCGAATGCCCGGATGACTATATAGCGCCTTCTCCGTGTTATCGTGGATTGAACAGTGCGATATAAATGCAAGTTGCTGTGGTTCCCATTCTCAAACACTCCCTGGCCTTTGTACCTCCGCAAATCAGCTCCATATCTGCTGTGATCTCTTTTCTCTCTCTATCTCTCTCGCTGGTTCCCGCAGAGCTATACATTCTCTCTCTCTCTCTCTCACTCTTCTCTCTCTCTCTCTCTCTCCAACTTGCCTATAAGTCTTTCCCTCTCAGACAGACCCACACGTACGCGCTTCATATAAAACACATCGCCTTCCCCTTGCGCAGTGCAAAACCTACTGGAATTTTAACCCAGAACTCAAAACCCACACAAGCCAATGTCACAAAATAAACTCTCCCCCCCCCCACCACCCCATCCCACTCTCACTGAGTCACCCACCCAGAGGTTAAAAATGTGCACAGTTTGCACTGACTATTGCACACTCACACACGTCTGTCAGACACACACACACACACTCACACAGGGTTAAACCCAAGGAAGCCTTTTGTGGAGTCTGTCACTGTGGTTGGATGACAGCCAGACCAGTGCACATTGCCTCCCAAATCTGCGACTCAAACCCAGTCATTTAATGCCCCCCACACTCACTCACACATTCCCCCCCCCCCCCCCCCCCACACGCCACCCGCACACACACGCACAGGAGAGGTGCACCGCTAAATACTCCGAGACTGATGATTGTGTGAGTGTGTGGAGAGAGAAGGGTGGGAGGGTGGGAGGGGGGGGGGAAAGAGAGAGAGATAGAGGATATCTCTTATACACAGAGAGCGAGAGAGCGAGAGAGAGAGAGACAGACAGCATTAAACCTTCCTTCCTCCTGCACCAACCTACCCTGATCTGTCAGTCTGCGGACCGCAACACGCGTGTCAGCCTCTGTCAAGGAAAGGAGGAGAGAGAGAGAGAGAGACAGAAAGAGAGAAAGAAAGCAAGCAAGTGGAGGGGTGGTGGGGGGGGGGGGAATGATGATGATGAGAGGGAGGGAGGAGGGGAGGGGATGAGGGAGAGAGAGAGAAGGAAGCCAAAAGAACTCCGGCATCACATCACTGAGAGAGAGAAGAGAGAGCAACACAGAACCAAAGGCTGTTACTCAGACTTGACAGAGGATCGCTTTGTCGGGGCTTTTTATGGCTTAATTTGGTTGTTTTGTCGGGATATGGGGAGACTTTAATACCCCCCACCCACCCAACCAACCCACCCCTCCATCTTACCCCCTCCCCCATCCCCCCCCCCCCAAACTCCACTCTCACCCCTCCCCATCTCACTCCACACAACAACATCAACAACAACAAAGTCACACTAGTTGATTTTTTGTTGTTGTTGTCTTGGGAGTGGTTCTTTTTTTTTGGTGGGGGGGGGGGGGTGGGGGAGAGAGAGAGAGAGCGTGAGAGAGGAAGAGAGAGTGAGAGCAGAGTGAGTGAGAGGAGAGTGACTGAGAGAGGAAGAGAGAGAGTGTGTGAGAGGGGAAGAGAGAGTGAGAGAGTGTGGGAGAGGAGAGAGTGAGTGCGAGTGAGTGAGGAGGGGGTGTCAGATTGACGAGGGTGGCTTCAGACTTTGAGGGAAGGAGAGAGAGAAGGCGACTGAGAGAGGGACAGAAAGAAGAGAGAGAGAGAGAGAGGGAATCAGATTGCACAGTGGGTGTGAGGGTGGAGGAGTGAGTGTGAGGGAGAGGGGTGTGAGGGTAGGGGGGGTAGCGTTGGTTGGGTAGGTACCAGGGAATGATGGAAGGACCAGATGAATTTGACTTCCCCAATGGCACGGATAACGTGACCGAGAGCAAGTTCCACCAGCCCGACTGGCAGATCGCGCTGTGGTCTATTGCCTACTCCGCCATCGTCTTTGTGGCCGTGGTCGGCAACATTGTGGTCATGTGGATCATCCTGGCCCACAAGAGGATGCGGACGGTCACCAACTATTTCCTGGTCAACCTGGCCTTTGCCGAAGCCTCCATGGCCGCCTTCAACACTGTGGTGAACTTTGTGAGCGCTCTGCACAACGAGTGGTACTTTGGCCTCGTGTACTGCCGTTTCCACAACTTCTTCCCCATCACCGCCATGTTCGCCAGCATCTACTCAATGACGGCCATCGCCCTGGACCGGTGAGTAAATATCGAGGGGTGGGTGGGGGGGGGCGAGGGTGAGGGCGTCTGCTTTTCAATGCCCCCTCCCCTCCCTCCTATCTCTCTCTCTCTCTCTCTCTCCCTCCCCACCTACTCACCAACCTCACCCCCATCTCACCACCATCCACCATGGCCTCTCCACCACCTTTTGCACTTGTCACTTGGCCACAAAACACACACAGTCACTACACTTTGCAGTGTATCCCGCAAAGCGCTTTGAGACGTCTCAACGACGTGATAAGGCGCTGCATCAAATGGAGGGATTATTACGATGATTATTATTATTCTGCCGCCCGCATACTGACCCGGACCAAACTCCATACCCCCATCTCCCCAGTTCTGGCCCAGGCTCCACCATCCCCGATCGGATCGTCACACGCGTGTTCAAATTCCTTCACTCTCTGGCACCTCCCCTCCCTCTCCGACCTCCTCACTCCCCAATCCACCACCCGACACCTCCGCTAGACTGGCACCGGCTCCTGTTTGTCCCTCGCACCCTCCGCCCCACCATCGGAGATCGCGGTTTCAGCCACTACGCCCCGAAGCTCTCTCCAGCTCCCCCCCCCATCCCCCTCACCCCAACACATGTCATCAAAGTCAGCCCTACCTGGACGGGGGGGAGGGTGGGGATGGACTGTGCACACCTGTGGCACTTGCTTTCGGCAAATGTTTTATTTCTGGCATTCAGTCTCATCCTAATAAACACGTACACATTCTGAAGCCGGTTTCCCATTAGTATGCAGGTATGCCAACCATTTACTTCCAGTTACTACACCGAAGAGGCCAATTGGATGAGCACGGAAAGAGAGAGCGAGCGAGCGAGAGAGGGAGAGAGAGAGAGAGAGAGAGAGAGAGAGATCCATCCTTTGATTGAGACGTTAAACCGAGATTGTTTGCGATCTCCTGCGGTGCTGCTGGAGAAGAGGGGACTTTGTCACAGTTAGTGTCCTGGCCAACAATTCACCACCCCTACCCCCACCGCCACGCTCCACCCCATCCCCACACCCCGTCCTCACCCCCTCAGCAAACCGCCAAAGTACAGTCACCACACTTTACAGTAAAATCCTTTGAGACATCCATCTGACCCAAAAGACGCAGCGCTAAATGCCAGGTTTAATTATTATTATTAATAACACGAAGCACTCTGAGAAGCTACCCTGTGTGGAGGGCGTGATATAAGTGCACGTTGTTGTTCTAATGCAGTTAATTATGGTGAAGAATTCAATTGCACGCATGTTCACACGTGTCCCGGCAAACAATTAAATCCCCACCCGTCATCATATTGCCACGACAGTGTTTTCCCCTGCGAGAGCCAGCGAGCCAGCGAGCGAGCGAGTGAGGGGTTTATCAGAAGAGCAGTCAAAATAATTAATCCCGTTGTTTTAATAATGACAGCAGATTCGCCAGGGATTGGGGGCGGCGGGGTGGGGGTGGTGGGGGTGGGGGTGGGGGGGGGGAGAGTGGGGTGAGAGGAGGAAGGGGGAGTTGGGGAGGTGTGGGGTGAAGAGAATGCTGATGTTGTCCAGCACACGGGGAACTGGAAGGAGTTTGATTGATAATCCGAATCAATTAATAAAGATCAGAACAATGGCACCCGGTGTCAGGAGGTTCGGGAAAGCAGCGTAAGCTTCAATTACCAGCGTCTGGTGGAATTTAAATGAGAAGCATCGAGCAGTTGTCCTCAGACCTCTCAGAGTTCCCTGTTCACAGCTCACTCCCTTGGCCCCAGGGCTTACAATAATAATAATAATAATAATAATAAGCTTTGCGTTCGACACAGCTCCTTATCACATCGCCGAGACGTCCCAAAGCACTTCCAGGATTAAACCGCAAAGTGTGGTGACTGTGTATTTTGTGGGTGAAACTCAGTGGCCGAAAGCGTCCCCACTACCACTGGCGGATTGAGTGACCATATTTTTTTAAGGGATGATTAGCCCCGGGAAAGCGATCCACCAATCGTTCGACTAACAACCGGGTCCCTACGCACCGCCGGCTGAACCGAGGCTGAACCGAGGCGTGACTACAATTAATTAATGCGTATTGTGTCTGTGAGCGGTTTGGTCACAGCGAGGGATCTGTGTGACATTCTCTCACGCTGACTGCGTGCCGACAGCTGGGAGCTCCCTGTGTGTTGGGGACAGGTGCGGGGGTCAGAGCCCTGCGGACACCAGAGACTGCATCGCACACATACACACACACGCACACACGCACACACACACACACACACACACAATCAGCCGCACGAGACAGGCGGTGAAGGACAGGTTGAGGATACGCACTTACACACACACTTACACTTAAACAAATGTACAATCATACACTCACATACACACATAGACTTACACGCACACTTGCACACACACTCACACGCACTCGCACACACATACACACACTTACACACGTACACTCACACACACACACATACACTTACACACACATACTCATGGATGTACACACACCCTCCACACGCACACACACTTAGACAAACACACACTCACTGACACACATACACCCACGCACGCGCGAACGCTCTCACACGCATTCACACGTACCCACCCGCGCACACTCACGGACACACACACACATACGCACGCACACGGACACGCACTCACACGCACACGCACACGCACACGCGCACAGGGGCAGCCAGAAACGTGGGGCCAGGACGAGATGACTGAAGCCAGGACTCTGGGACTCATTTGACAAACAAACAAACGATGATTTGCAGCGTTATTGCCGCCCTCAGGTCTCGGACACTTACAATGGTGTCTGGGAGTTAGATACAGCGCCTTATCACGTCGTTGAGATGCTTCCAAGCAACTGACACAACATACCGGGAAGTTCAGCGGTCGTGTATTTTGTGGGCGAGACCCGGCCGCCAGTTCGCGCACAGCAGCGTCCCCACAAACAGTCGGGGAGCGAGCGACCAATTTTATCTGGAGGATTGTCAGCCAGGACAACGGGGGGAGAGAGAGAGAGAGAGAGAGAGAGAGACAGAGACAGAGAGAGAGAGACAGAGAGAGAGAGACAGAGAGAGAGAAAATCCCTTCTCTTTTCAAATAGCCCCACGGAATCTTTAACGTCCACCTGAACAGGCAGACGGGGAGATCGGTTTGACTTCCCATCCGAACCATTCACCTCCCCTCTAACCCCTATCCCCTATCTCTCTCTCTCTCTCTCTCTCTCTCTAACCCCTCTCCCCCTCCGCTGTGTAGGTATATGGCCATTATCCACCCGCTGAAGCCCAGACTGTCGGCCACAGCCACCAAGGTGGTGATCGGTGTGATCTGGACGCTGGCTCTGGCTCTGGCGTTCCCCCAGTGCTATTACTCCATCACCGAGGAGATGTACGGCAAGATGGTCTGCTACGTGCAGTGGTCACCCAGGGAAGAGGAGATAGAACCCAGCAAGACCACGTGAGTCACAGTCATCTCCCCTGCCCCCTCACCTTCCCTCATGACCCCTCCCCTCTCCTCATCTCCCCTCGCCTCCCCGCACCTCCCCTTATCTTCCCTCCCCTCATCTCCCCTCACATCCCCCCACTGCCCCTTATTTCTCCTCCCCTCATCGCCCTCATTTTCCCTCACCTCCACTCCCCTCATCTCCCCTCCCCTCATCTACCCTCCCCTCATCTACCCTCCCATCATCTACCCTCACCTCCCCTCCCCTCATCTCCCCCCGCCATCTCACCACAACTCACTTCTCTTTATTTATACAGAGAGAAGGCGGAGGGGAAGAGGGGCAAAGGGGCTGCACTGACATGATGGGTTTGGGGGGAGATGCGGGGGGGGGGGGAAGAGCGCAGGAGAGTGGGGTTAGAGGAGAGTGGCAGTGTAGGTGTGTGGGGGTGGGGGGAGAACAGGAGAGAGGGAGGGGAGCTTTGCATGTGCTGTGAGGCGCTGGGATTAGAGCACCTGTTTCTGGGTATAAATAACCAGCGAGTGATGACGATTTCCTGAAACAACATCTCGTGCTGTCAGCGCCAAACACATAGCGGGGCGGGGGGGTGGTGGGGGGGGGGGTCCGGGGATTGGGGTACGGGCAACCGAACGGACCCCAGCCCAACACACGCTCTCGTGTAAACACCCCAATCACTATCACTCAGGAACAGCCCCGCACCATCCATCTCCCTCTCACCCCCCCCCCCCACCACCAATCCCCAGCTCTCCTTCAACCGAACACAGCCCCCCCCCCTTCACCCCCCCCCCTTTCCCCCATAGCGTACGTCACGTGCTGTGTCAGTGGCTCCGCGCTGAGCTGCCTGGCTCCGGCTCGGAATACCCAGGGATTCTTAGTTATGGAATACCATTGGGGGGGGGGGAGAGGGTGACGGACACGGACACAGACACGTCAAAGAGGTCAAGGAACAGCTCCTTGAGCTCACAGTCCAGGCTGGGCCGGGTGGGGTGGTGGGTGGGGTGAGGGAAACAAGAGCGGGCGGGGAGGGGGGGCACTGAATTGTCAGAGACGCTGTCATTTGATTAAGATGTCAGACCCACCTCCCCCTCTGTGCCCTGTTCCGGCGGTCATGAAAGATCTCCACCTACCTCACCCTCATCCTCGCCCCCATCCTCGCCCCCACCCGCGCCCCCACCACTCCCTCTAAGGCTCAGACAGACTCCAGCTCCAGGAGTGTGACTGAGTCTGTCCCACAGTCTCGGTCACACTCCTGGAGCTGTTGTATTCAAAGCCTGAGCTTTGAATGTAAGGAAATTGGATGGTTTGAATGTTCCTCTGTCAGCCGGTCAGGGTGGTGGGGAGGGGAGATTGAGGGAGCGTTTACATGGGATGAGAGGCTAAATTGAGTTCCCCACCTGCCCTTTCCCCCCACCATAGGAAAAAATAAGGGGGTGGGGGGTTCTCCTGGTTGGTGTCCTGGCTGACAATTAGTTCAGTGGTTACCCAAGCGAGAGTTCCTGGGTTGGATTCCCAACAGGACGAAATGTTGGGCAAGTTTCCTTACTCCAGACGCTTCTGTTTACCAGCAGGAAGTAGGAGCCGGGTTGTTAGTTGATTGGTGGGATTGCTTTGCCGGGGATAATAATCCCTTCCAAATAATCATGATAATAATAATAATAATTCGGTCACTCACTTTCCCCGACTGTTTGTGAGACGCTGCTGGGCCCGGTTAGTGCTTTGAGGCGTCTCGAAGGCGCAATAAGGCGCTTTATCAGAGGCCAAAAAAAAATGCAAGCAACGTCAAAGCGATTCCTAATCCCCTCGCTCTCCCCTGGCTCTGACCGGCCTGGGTGGGCAACGCCAGTGACCGACGCAGGCAGGTCAGTATTTAAATGCCGCCTCTTCGTGCGCCCCCCCAAGAAAAGATTCCTTTGAGATGAAGCCAACACATCCCTCCAGAGGAAAAGACTCACTCACTCAGTTCATGGTTGTTTGTGTGTAGGTGTGTGTATGTGGGGGGGGCAGTGGGTGTATGTGTGGGTCAGTGTGTGTATGTGGGGGGGCAGTGGGTGGTTATTATGGCGCGGGTTGTTAACTGCTGCCTTATTGGTGTGGGTTCTCCATCTCTCTGTGACAGGTACCACGTGTGTGTGACTGTGCTGGTGTATTTCCTGCCTCTGGCGGTCATGGGCTTTGCCTACACTGTGGTGGGTGTCACCCTCTGGGCCGGCACCATCCCCGGAGACTCGTCAGAGAGATACAGGGAGCAGATCAACGCCAAGCGCAAGGTGAGCGCTGCCTCCGGCTGATCACACGCTGGGATTACGCCACCACCACCACCACCACCACCACAACAACAACATGAACACAGCGCCCTACATGTTGGGAGAACGTTCCCAAGGCGCTGGACGGTCAGGGGTTTGGGCAGGTCCTCATGGCTTGAAATTCCACCTTGTCTCAGCCCACGATGATGGTTCTTTGTCTCTCCCCCCCCCCCCCCCCCAACCACCACCACCAACCTCTAACCCCCTACTTCCCCCTTCCTCCCCTTCGCTTTCTTCCTCCCTCGCACACTGCTCTCATACTCTCCCCTTGCACACTCCAGGAGAGGAAGAGGAAGGTCTTCAACGCTACCTGAAGATGGGAAAGGAGGGGACGAGGCGGAGGGATAGAGAGAGAGAGAGAGAGATCCAGAGTTTCAGGGTTTAGTGGCTGTTATTATATTATTATTATATGGCGAGGATTCCATCCGGGAATCGCTCTCCGTAGACCCCTTTTGAGCGCACTTTTGGTCATCTGCCCCTACCCCCCCCCCCCCACCCCAGGCTCGGGGGTCCAGCCTGCAGTGTAAAGCACTCTGAGACGTCCTCCTGACGTGAAAAGCGCCGCGTAAATGGATTATCGTGTTGTTGGAGCGTGAGGATAGTGGCGCAGGCAAAAAGCGAGGCAGGTTGGTTCTATTTCCGTGCAAACGAGTGCGAGAGAGAAGCGTGGAAGGACGTGCAAAGGGGAGTGTGTGAAAGTGTGCGAGGTTGGGGGGGGGGAAGGGGAGAGTGCGAAGGAGTGTGGGAGGAGGGAGTAATTGTTCAGAGCTCAATTTGTCCCTTCAAACTCACTGATGTAACTTTAATAGCATAATTACATTTTACATTCCTAATGCAATTTATAATTTAAAGTTACATTAAAGTTATTTATAAACGCCCGGGGGACAGTGCGTAAGTGTGTGTGTGTGTGTGTGTGTGTGTGTGTGTGAGTGTGTGGGGAGGGGAGTGGGGGGGGGGGGGGGGAGGTGGGAGAGACATAGACATTCACATCAGTTCACTAGACCCAGCGGAACATTGCACCGCAGGCGATTAAATCATTCCCTGCTCTGCGGAGCTAAACTGCGGAGCCGGGGAAATTGACTGAGGATTGAGCAGAGACAATTAGTTATCTCACCCTGCCCTTCGCACTCACCCCTCATATGTCCTTGCCCCCCCCCCACCCCACTCCTCGCAATCCCACTCCCCTCGCACTCCCCCCACACCCCTCAAACCTCTTCTCTCGTACACTCTGCAGACACAAACCAATACAAATTTCCATTGATATATATATGTGTGTGTGTGTGTACAGCTTTGGGAGGCTCTTTACAGTAATAGTTTGGCACCCAAAGTGGGGTGGGGGGTGGGGGGGGGGGCAGGGAGATGGTTAGAGGGGGGAGTGGAAATGTGGCCGCCAAAAGTTATGGTCAAAGATGAAGCTCTTGAGATGGTTCCTGAACAAACGGTGGAAGAGAGGGAGCGAAAGTTTAAGATCAGCCCCATCATCAGGTGGCAGGACAGGGACACGGTGTGTGTGTGGGGGTGGGGAGGGGTGGGGGGGTGGTGGGTGGGAGGGGGTGTCAAGGGTGTCATTCCACGTGTTGGGAACGAGAACGCAGTGATACGTGCCATCAAGCGCTCCGGGACGCTACTCTGCGTGGGAGGAACTGTACGAGGCCACGTTGTTGTTGTTGCCGCTGCAGGTGGTGAAGATGATGATCGTGGTGGTGAGCACCTTCGCCGTGTGCTGGCTGCCGTTTCACGTCTACTTTCTCCTGGACCACTTCTACCCGGAGATTTACGCTCAGACCTACATCCAGCAGGTCTACCTGTTCATCTTCTGGCTGGCCATGAGCTCCACCATGTACAACCCCATCATCTACTGCCTCCTCAACGATCGGTGAGCGGCCTATAGTCTCCCTCGCACCCCCATTCTCTCTGCACCCCCTCCCGCCCTACCTCCTCACTCCCTCGCTAATGTCGGTACTCAATCCACGACTGTTTGTGGGACGCTGCTGAGCGCAATTGGCTGCCCCCTTTCGCCCACGATATAGACTCAATCCGCTTTACAGGTGCATCTCGTGAAACGCTTTGAGAACCAGAATGATTATTATTACTATTATTAATCATTACCGTGGTTATTATGTTACCTTGCAGGTTCCGCGCCGGTTTCCGCTGTGCCTTCCAGTGGTGCCCGTTCATCACCATCAACGAGTACGAGGGCTTGGAGCTGAAGACGGCCAAATACCTGCAAACCCAGAACAGCCTGTACAGGGCCAGCCGTCTGGAGACCACTGTCTCCACCGTGGCCAACCCCAACCAGGTCGATAGCCCCGAGCCCGAGGGGCACCCCACCCCCCACACCTCGCCCTCGACCTGACCTCCAACAACTCGGTGCTGGCTCTCTCCAGCGAGACTGTGAGCTTATACTCCGGCACCAACCCCTGCTAACAGGGCGGGGTGGGTGGGGGAGAGAGAGAGGGGGTAAGGGGAAGGGGGCTGGAGGCAGGGAGGGGCGAGTGCAGGGGGTGAGGTGGGAAGGCGGGGAAGGGGCTGGAAGGAGGGAGGGACCGGTGCCAGGCCAACCTAACCCAACCCAGCCCAAGCCAACACAAGTCGCCTGAAACCCCCCCCCCATCCCCCCCACCCATCCCCAACGCAGCCCATCGCAATGAAACCCGATGTTACAAGAACAAATTGCATTGACACAGCGCCTTTCATGCCGGGAGGATGTCCCAAGGCGCTGGACAGTCAGGGGTTTGCACCCGAGCTGGGGGTGGGGGTCAGGAGGGAGTGGAGGGCGGAGAGGGTCGGGTGTCAGGAGGTAGGAGGGTGTCAGCCTAGACTGTGTGTTCAAAGACCCTGACGTGGGGGGACTTGAACCCACAACCTTCTGACTCAGAGGCGAGGGACGCTATCAACTGAGCCAGGCTGACACCCAAAAACCAGGGGCTGAGGGCAATGGTACTGCTTTGTGACAGGGAGTCACCACACTGTGACAGTCACTTTATTAACAGTGGTCTGGAGCTGCCCTCTTGTGGCCCAGAACTGTATTGCCACCTGTTCAGTCCCCTTTCCCCCCCCCCCAATGTGCTCCCGAACAGGACACAGCCCGAGCCTCAGTTTAACGTCTCCCCCGAAGGGACTGGGCCTCCGACAGCTCGGCTTTTGACGGGAGGACATCCCAAAGCTTCACTGGGTTCAATGTAAAATATAGCCGCTGTATCTTTGTAGGTGAATGTGGCAGCAAAGCGATGTCCCCACAAACAGTCGTGAACTGAGTGACCGATTGTATCTCTGGGGGTGGAGTGGGTTGACTGTTGAACAGGACACCAACCGGGGAGAAGGTCCCTTCTCTTCCAACAGTGCTGCAGGGGGTAGACCTTTAACGTCTGCCTGAACAGGACATAGAACGGGCGGGGGGGGGGGGGGGGTGGGGAGGGTTTAACATTCCACTTGAAGCACGGCCAAGGTTTAAGATCAGAGGCTGGAGGTTTGGGGGTGGGGGCGCGGGGGGTTGGGGGGGGTGGTTGGAGATAAGGCGGCTGGGATCAACGTCGATCGACCCTGCTCCGATATCCAGGGTATTCGGTCCTTTGCGTCGTAAAATCCCGCGGTTTTCTACGACACGAGACACTTGCGGAACTGTTATTGGTGGGGGGTGGGGTGGTGAGGGGGGGGTTGGGGGCTGGGGGTGGGATGTGAGGGGGATCAAGCTGGATCAAGAATGCATTTCGCTGCTTTATTTATGTGCAATAGGATTTCAGTTCTCGTGCCCGAGTGTCACTGTATTGTCCTGAGTTTTACTGTAGTTCTGACGCCACTGTATGTTTGACCGATGCACGGCATGGGCGGGGGGGGGGGGTGAGGAAATGGGGGGGTGGGGGGAGGAGAGGGAGGGTGGGTGTGTGTTTCTTTGTGGTCGTATGTAAAGCTGTGTTTAATCGGCGGCTGACTACACGCCAATCTCTGGTGTGAACCTAACCCCGGTGTTCCCCGTTCACCCGGAGAGTAAGTGGTATTTACACGCACACAGGGTCTGGTTATCTGTGGTGATATTATCCTCGTCGTGTGCCAATGATTTGTGTATTTGCTCTACGTGTACTGTATTGTCCAGGTTACAGGATGTAAATAATAATAATAATAATAAATCTGGTCTCCAGAACAGGTGCAGTGACCTGGTGAATGGGTCTCTGGGATGAGGGATGGCGCGCGCGTGTGTGTGTAGGTGTGTGTGTATATGTGTGTTGTGTTTAAACCCACCATCGGGGAGCTGGGGGGGGGGGGGAAAGGTGACTGAAAGCGTGGACAGAGGTAGCTCTTGAGATGGGCCTTTAATGAGATCCATTTGCCGGAGGGACTGACTGACTGACCGGATTGTGATGGATCCGAACATTAAAGCAGTTATACATTTCCTCACCTGTATAAACTTTACAGCACAAGAAAGCCCACCTGGTGTTATACTATCTCCACCCCCCACCCTCCCCGTTCCCCCACCACCACCTCTCGAGCGCTCTTTACTCCAATCCTCATCCTGTCGCTCTTTCCCCCCATCGTACCTACATTGATGCTCACTCCCCACCTCCACCCCGTGGAGCTCTCTCTAGTCCCATTCCCCCCCTCTGCCGCCCGTCGTGGGGTTAAACACTTTGACGCTTGATATAGTGCCTTATCACGTCTTCCAGAGGTCTCGAAGCGCTTCACAAGAATGAGAGAGACACCGAAAAAGCTCGAGGAAATAGAGATTCTTTAATTTTTCATCTAAACCGTCCATCCATTTGTCAAATGTGAAAAAGGGGGAGGAAGGAACGAGAGAGAGAAAGAGAAGGTACACAACTAGATGGAACAATAGCAGCCAAGACACGGTATAACGTTAACAGATCTGCCCTGAAAGCCGTCAAAATAAATAAATAGGAATAAATAGTCACGAGCCCAGTCTTATCCCATCTCGTTTCACCTCTTCTTGTCACATCAACTGTCCTGTGTCTGTCCAATAGTCCTCGTTGGCCCACGACCAAATGGTCCACTGGTCAAGTCAACAAAACTGGCCTGAGAGCAAGGGAGAGAAAGCCTCTCCCAAACTCCCCCCCCCCCCCCCCCACCCCATTCCAACTCCACACCCCCATTCCAACTCCATCCCCCCCCCCACCCCCCCCACAACACACCAACCCCACCTCATTTCTGGAGTGTATTAGGTGAGGAGGACACCCCTTTAATACGTGGGTGTGGGGGGTGTGGGGGTTAACTTCTGGAGTGATATTTTGAGAGAACCAGATTCAGGGTAAGACAGGGACATGAGGGGTCAATTGACCACACAGCTGTGTGTGTGTGGGTGATGGTGGGGGGGACAATACTTACACCAAAGCCGTGTACGGTTGGGGTGAGTGAGGGAATGGTGGTGTTTTGGTGGTGGTGGGGGGGTGTGAGATGGTGGTAAGATGCCTACAGCATCCAGAGGAGTGAGCCGTTACCCTACTAGTCACTAAATATCACGTCACTAACAGCTTACAGCCGTTTGCAACCCTCCCTCCCCCCACCACAATTCATGGTAGGGATCAAAGCATTACTCCCCCTCTCTCCCCCACCCAGTGTACAGTGTGGGAGAGGGGGGGGGTTGGAATTTCCTCTGTCCCCACCTTCCCCTCTCCCTCGCCCCGGCGAGGTAAATACTAATATTAATAACCTTTGCATTTGATGCAATGCCCTGTCACGTCCACTTGACGTCTCAGCCCTTCGCAGAATATATACTGTAAAGTGAATTGACTGTATATCTTGTGGGCGAAATCTTAAAAATGGCGCAACATCAGCATCAGCACAAAGCCAACAATTCAGGACCGAAAGCAAAGGGTTTATTAGAATAAATCCCCTTTACCTTTGTATCTATACACACACCCACTAAACTGCCTTCCTACTAACTCGTGAGTCAATTACTACCCACCCTTTGGGCTCAGGGTCAAATCCAACACTGAGTAGGGTACAACTGTTCAACATCTCTCCCCCCACCCCACCCCCCAACCCCCCTCGCCCTTCCCCACCACCACCACTTCATTCCACTCCCCCATCGGCTTCCCATTAAACATGTGGCTCAGTACCACACGCTGTTCTAAGTCGATTCGCACACTTGTCTTCCAAGATGTCAGGACCACCTTCACAAGCCAAAGCCCCCCCCCTCCCCCCCCCACACTGTCAGTGTCCCGGGGGTGCAGCTTAATGCCCCGAACTCGGGTCTATCCCCAAACTAAAGTGGAGAAGGGGGCAACACTTACACGTCTATTTAGATACTGTCTCTCTCTCTGATGCTTCAATCATTTCCAAAAACAACACTCGGAACTAAGTGCTGGTACATTCTCCCCCCCCACCCCAACCACCACCACCCCACCTGCCCCCGAAACAAAAACATGGAGTAAAATCTTATAAAGGGATAGCTGTACTGAGAGGAAATAAAGGAGGTTGAACGCACCGACAGCCTCGAGGGGCTGATGGAGAGAATCCTGCCACACAGACTCGCGCAACAGAACAGAAAGGCTCAGGTTGTCGCTTCAATCCACAAAGAGAGGAGGGAATCCCTCGCCTACGCTCCACCGACCTCCAAACCTCACCACACAGTGAGCTCCCACTGAGTTACCTGGTTTAAAGTCCTTCCCTGAGCTGTGTCAGCTGGGGCTGCAGGGAGGTGTGGGGTCGATGGTTGGGATGGGGGAATCCTCAACGCTGGAGGGTAGAAGGTTATATACCCTCAGTTGAAAAGAGGACAAACTGGCCATTGGGTTTTAAGGTTGGGAAACAGGACTAAGCATTTCGCGGCGAAAACATTAGTGGCTGAGAACACTCGGCAGGTCAGGGCAGCATCTATGGAGAAAGGAAAGTGAGCCAATGGTTCGGGTCAGAACTGGGGCGTATCGGGAGGGAGAGGCTTTTAAGGGCTAACAGAGATGGGGGGGGGGGGCGGGGGGAGACGGGGCAAGGAAGGCAAAGGAGAAAATGGGGGTAAAGAACAGGGGATTATGGGTTAAATAGGTGTTAATAACGCGAGACGAAGGGGGGGGGGAAATTTGCAACAAAACAGTCTGGATACGGTCAAAGAAACCAAGGAACTTGTTACCAAACCTGGCGTATATAGTACCCGTCAGACATCTACCCACAATGGACATAGTCAGGAGGACATCTCACCCACCTCATCAAAGATTTACATGCTACCCCCCACCCACCCCCCCCCCCCCACCCACCCACCCACCCACCCACACACATGTGAGACACACACGTTTGGGTGTAAGACTCAATTGAACACCGAGTAAACCACTTTCATCAACAAGTTATTGCGACTCAATTTAATTCCTCCGCTCCCCCGCCGTCTTCCACCCCCACCCCCACCATAAAATCCGGGGTGGGGTGGGGGCGGGGGGGGCGAGGAATAATAAAAGCACTAGCAGAAAAGTCTCGGTCCTTTGGGGGTATCAAAACGATCCTTGCACCTCACAGGCTCGGAGGTCTCCCTAAGACCCCTCCACTCCCTCTCCAGAGGGATTTTAACGTCTCACCCCCTCTTATTCCTCGCCCCCCCTCCCCTCCAGCCCCCTTGTCCCCCCCTCTCCCCCCATTTTGGAATTCGGACTAAAGCTGGAGACTTACCAACTATACAGGTGATAGTTTTCTTTATGTATAATATAAATATAAAACATTATATTAACTTTCTAATAAACTCACTCGGGCAGAACAGATGCTGCCTGCCGCACATCACACCTTGAGGTAGCGCATGGCAGGGTGGGGTTGGGGGAAGGATGGGTACACCTCAAACCCCCCACCCCCACCCCCAATCCACCACGGGATGTGGGTCTGTACAGGGGATGGAGGTTTGGTCAAAGTCTACAATCCCCAGAAAAGGGGGGAAAAGAGTCCGGGGCGGGACTCAGGTCTTCCTTCTCCTCACCTAATCCGGGGAGGAGGGGGAGGGGGATGGTGGGGGGGGTTTGCTGGGAACATTTGTACAGATTATATAGAGTGAGTGATGCTCCCATTCCTGAGGCAGCGGATACCACCCTTTCCCTCCCCTCATCAACACCCAACATCCAATCTCAACTGTCCGTCCAACCTTGAGAGCCTTGTCATTCCCGGCTTCGTTGTTGCACTAAGTGCAACAAACCCCCCCCCCCCATCCTGCCACACAGCTCCCCCCCCAACACACACTCACGCGCACACACACACACACACACACATCCCCAGATTGGCATTGACCAGTTAGGGAATAGCAATCAAGTCCCAGGTCACCACCTGATCTTTCCAACACATTTATTCTGAGTTCATACATTGAACCCAATTAAAATAGCCGCCCCCCCCCACCCCCCCCCACCCCGCCCGACACACACACAAACCAAACACCAGCTCATATACTACCATCTCTCTCTTTGCCAGTGATACACTATATATATATATAACCATCTGCTTCAATAAACACACGCCCCACCAACCACCCCACCCCAACCCCAGACCCCCCCAACCCCAACACCCGACCAACCCCACCCAGTTCCCCCACCAAATTGCTCTAGTTATTGCGTTAAATTGTCATTTTAAGTACCTGCGTTTTTAGTACAAAATATATTTAATCTCTCTTTCCATCCAAAACCCACCTCCACCCCCCCCCCCCCCAACCTCCACTGCTTTTATCAAAGATCCCTCCCCATGTGAGCGAGTGCTCCCCATGACGGGCTGAACCAGAATGAAACGTCGCTCTCTTTCTTTCCCCCCTCGGCCTCCAGGGGTTTAATCACCGCCTTTTGTGTAAAGGGCACCACGTGCACGTAAGCCATTTCCCATCTCCATCCAGGATCAATAAGCCAATCATCAATAACTGATCAATTACCAATAATTGATCAATAATTGAATCCGTTTGCCCGACGACAGGCCTTTACACAGAGCCGGCTTTATACATGCCCCCACCTACACTCCCCCCACCCCCACCCACCCAAGCGGGTCGTCTGGGGGGAGGCGGGGGGTGGGTTTCATAACCAAATACATCCGTGGCTAGAAAAGGAGAGCGAGGGAGGGAGTGAGAAGAAGAGAGGGATAGAGAGAGCAAGCGAGGGAGGGAGGGAGGAAAGGAGGGAGTGAGCGAGAGAGCGAGAGAGGGAAAGAAAGGGGGAGGGACGGACGGAGGGAGGGAACACACAATCATTCGGCTCCTAATCCGGTCGGGATTGGGGAAAGTAAATACTGTCGTAAGGGATTGCGGAATTTGCTTTGAAATGGTCGGAGGTGATGAGGGTGGGGGGAGATGGAGGGGAGGAGGAAGAGGAGGAGGAAGGTGTCCGCGCAGCCTGTGAGGTCCACCCCTAGTGCTGTCCGGCCTCTCGGATGCGACATGCCACAGCGGTGATCAGCGCCGCTCCTTTCCCGCTCCCGTCTTCCGACTGCACGAAGGAGACCTTACACTTGGGGGCCAACTTGGCAACTGTGTCGTGCATTATCGTGGAGAAGCTACAGAGGTTGAGAGAGGAGGGAGAGGGGTGGGGGGAGGTAGGGAGAGTAGGAGAGAGAGAGAGGAGAGGGGGAGAGAGAGAGAGAGAGAGAGAGAATGGTGAGCGGAAACCGGACACAACATTCCTTAACCTCCTCCCAAGAGGTACACAAGATTTATTGTCCCATCTTCCCCCCTTCCTCTCCCAGCTCAGCCCCCCGTAACGTGTGTGTGTAGGGGGGTTGGGGGTTTGGGGGTTACTCACTGTGGGTGCAGTTTGTAGAGGGTGCTGTGCTATGTTCGGGCGGTGGTGGGTTGGGGGTGAGGGCTTGGGTTGGGGCTGTGGTTGGGGGTTTGGGGGGTTACTCACTGTGGGTGCAGTTTGTAGAGAGTGCCGTCCACACCGACGGTGATCCGGAGATGCTCGAGGTTACGGTTCTCCCGGATCTTGTCGACCACGGCCGCCATTCCGGCCCCACACAGCATGGCCGCCCTCCTGGCCACCACCCCACACACCTCCTTCACGATGATACTGTCGTCACATGTGCTCTCCAGCCCCAACTGCTGCAGGATGGCGCGCACCTGGAGCAGAGCCAGCCGGTCACTGGGGTGGGGGGTGGGGTGGGGTGGGAGAGGGGGGCACAGGTTATTACTGACAGCAACACTGATGGTCAGATCTTCACCCCGGGGCACCTCCCCTCCTCGCTCTTCCTCCCCTCCCCTCCTCCCCTCTCCTCCCCTCCCCTGCATACACCCACACACACACGCACACATACACGCATACCACCCGCACGCAGACACATACACATACACACCCGTAGACACGCACGCACACACTGTTGACGCATACGTCCACACACGTGCACACACACACACACACACGCACACACACGCACACGTTTACAACAACAACAACAAAATTAGATTGGTATAGCACCTTTCATGTCGGGAAGTCCCAAGGCGCAGGGAGACGCACACACGCGCGCACATACATACCTACACACGTATGCAGACACTCATACATACACACACACACACACACACATGGAATACACACAGATACACACACACACACGCGCGCACATACCTCGCCCCATCTCCCCGCTCGCTGGGCAGGGCTTGAGAAGGAGGACTTACCTCTCAATGTGAGACAGGAATTTGGTTTCGAAAATGCCGCGAGTCTTCAGCCTCTCAGAAATGCGTCCCCGGAACAGCAGCCCCCGCTTGGTGAAGTCCAGCAGAATGTTTCGGACAATCTCCCCCAGGTACATCCCGCTGATCATCTTCTCGTACCTGCCGGGGCGGAGTGGGGGGGGGGGGGGGGGAGGTGGGTGTGGGGGGGCGGTGAACAAGTCAGGGAGAGGGATCAATAAACCTCCGATCAGTGACTGAACCAACCACAGGTCTCGGGAACAGATCGAGGAACTTTCATCTCCACAAATGCTTCACAGCAGGATTTTACCGCGTAGCACAAAGCAGTGTGTGTCTGTGTGTGTGTGTGTGTCTGTGTATGTGTGTGTGTGTGTCTATGTGTCTGTGAGTATGTTGCACGTGTGCGTGTCTGTCTGTCTGTGTTTGTGTGAGTCTGCCTGTGTTTGTGTGTGTGTGTGTGTTTGGTGTGTGGGTGGGTGTGTGATGGTGTGGGTGTGTGGGTCAGTGTGTGGGTGGGTGTGTGGGTGGGTGTGTAGGTTGGGTGTGTGGGTGGGTGTGTGATGGTGTGGGTGTGTAGGTGGGTGTGTGGGTGGGTGTGTGATGGTGTGGGTGTGTGGGTGGGTGTGTGATGGTGTGGGTGTGTGGGTGAGTGTATGGGTGGGTGTGTAGGTGAGTGTGTGGGTGGGTGTATGGGTGGGTAGGTGGAGGTGGAGGTGGAGGGGAGGTGGGGGCTGCCGTACCTCTGTTTGCCAGGGTTCATTGAGAACTTGTCCACCTCCTCATCAAAGGGGGTCCTCATGTCTTCCAGACAGCCGTTGTCCCCGAAGGCCCCCCACTCCATGTTGATACACATTCGTCCCTCGTCCCCCTCCACCATCTCCACGTTCCTCATCTCCTCCATGTAGCAGGCGTTACTGCCGGTGCCTGGGTCAGGGCGAGGAGGGCGGGTCAGCCTGATTCACTCCCCATACTACCACCCCCCCACCCCCCCACAGTGCCCCCGTGTATGTGCCCGTATCTGTGTCAGTCGCCGCACTTACCCACGATCAGGCCGACCTCACAGTGGGGATCATCGTAGCCGCAGGACATCATGGTGCCCACCGTGTCGTTCACCACAGCCACCACATCCAGCTCAAACTCCTACACAACAGGAAAGCCGTCACTGGAACCTCACCCACTCACTCAGACCCTCGCCCCTCTCCCCCCCGACAAATATTTTGCCCACAAAATACACAGTCACTGCACTTTACGGTATATACTGTGAAGCGCTTTGAGACGTATGTGATATAAATCGCTATATCCGGCAGCTCAGGGGTTAGGGTTGACTCCCGGGCCGGTGAGGGCCAAATATTGGGCAAGTTTCCTTACTCCACACACACACACACACACACACACCGCTGGTTACCGGCAGTCAATAGGAACCCGGTTGTTAGTCGATTGGAGGATCGCTTTTCCGGGGGTAATAATCCTCAACAAAACCCAATAATAATTTGGTCGCTTCGATCCACGGCTGTTTTGCGGGGCGACGCTGCTGTGCACAATTGACTGGCGCGTTTCTCCCACAGAATACACAGTCACTACACTTTATCCTGCGTATCCTGTGAAGCGCTTTGGGACGTCGCGAAGAAGTGATCAGGCGCTGTGTCAGACGCAAAGATTATTATTATTATTATTATTATTATATCAAATGCAAGGGGATGGGGTGGGGATGGTGGAGAGGTTGGGAGGGGCTGGGGTTGAGAGTGGGGCTGGGGGAGGGGGAGGGGATTAGGGTGGGGAAGGGTCCGGGCCACTCACCTCTCTCCTCCTGATGGCTTCACGCAGCAGGTCCACCACATCCTCCCCCTCACAGCCGGAGGCTTTGAATCCTTTGGTCCATTTCAGCAGAATTCCCTGTGTGAGGGGCAGACACTGTCACAGCCAAACCACCTCCACACGGCAACACACGTGCGTGTGTCTAACTGTGTGGGTGTGTGTGTCTGTGTGTATGTGTGTGTGTGTTTCTAATTGTGTGTGTGTGTGTCTAACTGTGTGTGTGTGTGTGTGTGTCTAACTGTGTGTGTGTGTCTAACTGTGTGTGTGTGTGTCTAACTGTGTGTGTGTGTCTAACTGTGTGTGTGTTTAACTGTGTGTGTGTGTGTCTAACTGTGTGTAACTGTATGTGTGTGTGTCTAACTGTGTGCGTGTGTGTGTGCGTGTGTGTGTGTCTAACTGTGTGCGTGTTTAACTGCGTGTGTGTGTGTCTAACTGTGTGTGTGTGTGTGTGTGTGTGTCTAACTGTGTGTGTGTGTGTGTCTAACTGTGTGTGTGTGTGTGTCTGTGTGTGGAGCCCCACCTGATCCAGGTTCCTCTGCTCACAGGGGAAGGAGAAGGTAAAGCCCAGGGGGAGCATCACACCCTTCATCCCCATGTACTCCAGGAAGTCCCCGATACAGTGCACAATGTGGTCGAAGAGCTGGAGAAACAGCCTGAGGTTAGCACACGGCAGATTCCCCCCCCATTCCCTCTTTACTCCCCCACTCTCCCTCCTCCGCCGCCCCTCTTGCTGCTCTTCCCCCCACCCTTCCCCTCCTCTCCCTGCTATTCCCCCCCTCTCCCTTCCCCAAACCCCACCCCTCCTCGCCCCCTCCCCTCTCCCGTTCTTCACTCCCTGCATCACGCTCTCGCCTTTCTCCCCTCCACCCCTCTCCTGCTATCTCCCCCCCCCCTCACCTCCTCTCCGGTGCCCTCCATGGCTTCCGTGGGGATGGCGTAGATCTTGTTCTGCATCTCCACTCCGCGTCTCATCCCGTTCCTCACCTTCACCAGGAGAACCCGGAAGTTCGTGCCGCCCAGATCCAGTGCCAGGAAGTCACCTTTTTCTAAAGGGACAAAAACCCAGGACGAGTCAAGCTCCAGCCCACGCAGGGTTAAACTCCGCAGAAAACCCTCCCCGAGCAAGTGCAGGCCACAGCTACATGTCAAGAGCCTCTTACCCTACACTAGAGACACAGTGACAGAGACACACACACACACAGACGCATACACAAACATACCCGCCACACACGGACATACATACGCACACAGACAGACATACACCCAGACATACACACACACGCGGACAGCACACGCCCGCGCACACGCGCGCAGACAGACGCACAGCACAAGGCAGGCAGCGAGATTGTCAAGAGGGAAGACTTCAGTCTGAGTTGGATTCAGTTGATTGCTTCCCCTCCTCCCTATCCCCCCCACCTCACCCCCCCACTCCCTATCCCCCCCACCTCACCCCCCCACCCTATCCCTCCCTCCCTCTCCCCGCGCCTCACCGGTGCCGTCGGGGGTGGAGCGCACGTAGCTGGCCAACATTTTGACGGTGGCCGAGGTGTGAGTCTCCCTCTGGAGGCCTTGCTCCATCTCCTGCCTCATCCTCGCCTTCACCTTCAGCAGCTGCTGGTGGCTCAGCTCGAAGGCGGCCAGTGTCTCCTCCCGCGCCTTCCTCTGAGCGACCAGCCTGTAGGCCACGGCAGTCACCATGGCTGCCCCCTTCCCACTGCCGTCCTCCGACCTCAGGAACCGGACATCGCAGTCCGGCACCAGCCTCCGGACGGCCTTGTGTAACCGCCGGGCAAACCTGCCGAGACAACCCGAGACTCGTCACCCCAACACCGGAGACAACACACACTCTCCCTCACTCTCACCCACCAAACCCTCTCTCACCCACCAAACCCTGTCTCACCCACCAAACCGTCTCACCCACCAAACCCCCTCTCACCCACCAAACCCTCTCACCCACCAAACCCTCTCTCACCCACCAAACCCTCTCTCACCCACCAAACCCTCTCTCACCCACCAAACCCCCTCTCACCCACCAAACCCCCTCTCACCCACCAAACCCCTCTCACCCACCAAACCCCCTCTCACCCACCAAACCCTCTCTCACCCACCAAACCCTCTCTCACCCACCAAACCCTCTCTCACCCACCAAACCCTCTCTCACCCACCAAACCCCCTCTCACCCACCAAACCCTCTCTCACCCACCAAACCCTCTCTCACCCACCAAACCCTCTCTCACCCACCAAACCCTCTCTCACCCACCAAACCCCCTCTCACCCACCAAACCCCCTCTCACCCACCACCCTCTCTTTCTCTCTCACCCACTTTGGGCAAGTTTCCTTAATCCACACACACACACACACACACACACACGTGCCACTGTTCACCAGCAGTAAGTAGGAACCCGGTTGTTAATCGATTGGCGGATGGCTTTACTGAGGAGTTAATAATCCCTCAAATAAATAATAATAATTTGGTCACTTCAATCCACGGTGGTTTGTGGGGACGCTGCTGTGCGCAATTGGCTGCCGCGTTTCGCCCACAAAATACAAAGTCGCTTCACGTTACAGTGGATCTTGTGAAGCGCTTTGAGACGTGATAAGGCGCCGTATCAAATGCAAGGATTATTATTGTTAATTAGTGTGTGGGAGTTGGCCAGAGAGAGCCTCAGCCAAACAGATTGTGGAGACGCGGCGCCCTCCTGCGGCCACACCGGGTTTCACACAGTGTCTGGTCCAGCGTCCGCATTGTCTTTGGCTGAGGATCTCTCTGACCAAGTGAGCTGGTCCCAGTCACACAGTCACACAGGGCAGGGGGACAGAAGCCTCCTCTCCCCACCCCCCGGAGCACGGATTGAGAGGGGACATGATCGAGGTGTTTAGAAAATGCACAGCCATAATACTTCTAATAATAATCCTTGCATTCGAGCCGTCTCCAAGCGCTTCGCAGAATATACCGTAAAGTGAAGTGACTGCGTGTTTTGCGGGCGAAACACGGCAGCCAATTGCACCCGGCGACGTCCCCACAAACAGCCGTGGACTGAAGTGACCAAATTATTATTACTATTGTTGTTTTTAATGGGATTATTACCCTTAGGAAAAGCCGTCCGCCGACCGACGAACAAACGGGACGGGTTCCTACTGATTGCTGGTAAACAGAGGCGGGTGTGGGGTAAGGAAACTCGCCCAACGTTTCGCCCGCCCGGGAATCGAACCCGGGTCCTCTCGCTTGCGAGGCGAGGGGTGTAACCCCTGAGCCACAGGGCGCTAAATCAAATGTGGCTTACTGCGGGTGCTTTTTGTACACGGTGCCGTCCACCCCGATGGTGCTCCTCAGTCTCTGGAGGCCTTTGTTCTCCTTGATGCGCCTGAGCACGGCGGCCAGCGTGGCCGCGCACAGGTTGGCCGAGCGAGTGGACACGATGGTGCAAATGCGCTGCGTGGCTATGCAGTCCTCCTGGGACGGCTCCAGCCCCAGTTTGCTCAGGATCTCGTGGGCTTTCTGTAGCCCATCACCGTCCCTGAGTCACAGACGAGACCATTTTAACCACTCCCCCAGCCCCACCTCCCCCCCAATCCCCGACCCCAACCCTCACTCCCACAGCACCCCCCTCTCTTCCCACAGCCACCTCCCCTGCCTCACCCCGAACCTCTCCCACAGCCCTCCTCCCCAGGCACCTTCGCCCCCAACTCTCCCACAGCCACCTCCCCCCACCGCGCACCCCCCCAACTCCTTCCGCCCCAGCCCGCCCTCCCCCAGAGACACAGACAGAGGCCATTCGGCCCAGTCTGCCCGGCTGTGTTTGAGGTCAGACTTACTTCTCGATGGCGGAGACGTATTTGGTCTCAAAGTGCCCGTGGACCATGAGCTCAGGGCTGATCTTCCCCCCGAACAGCAGCCCCTCCTTCGTCATCTTCACCAGGATCAGCCTCACCAGCTCCCCCATGTACATTCCACTGATCATCTTCTCATACCTGCCGAGGCCATCATTAACACCACAGTAATCATCGATGTGACTATTATCCCAACAGCAACAACCACACGTTACAGTTACGCAACGACTTTCACGTCAGGAGAACGTCCCAAAGCCCCGGACAGTCAGGATCCGCTCCCGAGCTGGGGGTTGGGATCGGGAGAGGGTGGAGGGCGGGGAGAGTTGGGGTTAGGAGGGTGACCGAAGGCATGGTCGAAGAGGAGGGTCTTCAAGGAGGCAGGGGAGGGGGCGAGACGGAGTTTCAGAGGGTGGGCGAGGAGAGGGTAAAGGTCGATGGTGGTGGTGGGGGGGTGCGGGCAGGGGGTGTGAAGCAGGCCAGACCCTCCCTTCTCCTTGCGAGCAGCGAAAAGTATCTTTGACATCTGCCTGAACGGGGCAGAGACGGGGGGAATGGGGGGGGAGAATATGGGGAGTGGGGGGATGGGTGGAATGTGGGGGTGGGAGGGGGGGCAGAGTTCAGTTGGTTAAAACCTTATATGAAGGATGGAGCTCCCCCCCCCTCCCCTCCATTCCCCCGCGGTGACTCACAGCTGTTTGCCGGGGTTCAGGGACCCTCTGTCAATCTCCCGGTCGAACTCGGTCCTGACATCGTCCAGTGCATTCTGGTCCCCAAAGCCCCCCCACTCCATGTTGATGCACATCCGTCCCTCGTCCCCTTCCACCAGGTCAATGTGACGCATCTCCTCCATATAACAGGCGTTCGTGCCCGTACCTGTAACACAGAGCAGCCATGTCACCTCCATCCACCCCAACCCCCTCGCGCTCCCCCTCCCCAACTACAGCTACTGCCCCCTCCCACCGCCCGCTCTCTGCCCCCTCCCAACCCCCACCGCCCGCTCTCTGCCCCTTCCCACCACCCCATCTCCACCCCAGAGCTCGAGCTGCCAATCAGCCATGCGTGTGTGTGTGTGTGTGCGTGTGTGTAGTGTGTGTATATGCATGTGTGTATGTGTGTGAATGTGTACGTGTGTGTGTGTCTGTGTAGTATAATGTGTGTGTAGTGTGTAGTGTGTGTGTACTTCTGTGCATGTGCATTGATTCTCGTCACCCCCTCCCACAAGCGTGTAGACCAGGCGTGTTGCTGGAAGACATGACTGAGATGTGTGTGTGTGTGTGTGTGTGTGAGAGAGAGACCACGAGACATGTTTGTGGTAATGTATGAGGAAGTGCGAAGTCTCTGACCTGTTTTTACAGAGAAACCTGCGTCACACACTCAGCTCATTTCAGAGAAATATTTTCACAACCTCCACCCCGACCCTAACCCCCACCCCCACAGCCACGCACACACAAACACACACAAGCGACACACACACATACACACACAAGCGACACACACACAGAGACACACACACAGCGACATACACACACAGCAACGGCAAACTTTTAAAGATACAATACATAATTCCCAGCCATCACATATTGCCTTGAAAGATAAAAACACCACTGCTAACCACAGAAGTTATGGGAAGTATAAAATTAAACGAAGAGGCCTATAACATTGCCAAAAAAGAGCAGTAAACCCGAGGATTGAGAGGGTTTTAGAGAACATCAAAGGAAAACCGAGAAACTGATTGAGAGGGAGAATATGAGGGTAAACTCGCGAGGAACATAAAGACAGATTGTAAGAGTGTTTACAGGCACAAAAAGAGGAAGAGGCTATCGAAAGTGAATGTGGTCCATTGCACGCAGCGACGGGGGAAGTTATATTGGGGAATAAAAAAATGTCAGTCATTAAACATGTATCTTGCTTTTGTCTTCACGTTGGAGGACACTGAAAACTTACCGAAAATAGAGGGGAAACTGGAGGCTAATGTTAGCGAGGAACTCAAATCAATGAACATCAGGAAAGCGATAGTGCTAAAGAAATTGAGAGGATTTAAAACCGATCAATCCCCCTGGACCTGAGGTTTTTCGAGGTTTTAGAAACCCTCTTAGAAACCTCTCTACCCCCCTCCTCGCTCCCTCCCTCCCTCCCTTCCCTCCCCTCACCCCACCCCATTTCCTCCCCAATGCCCGGGCCCTGACCCAACTGTCCAGCGCCTTGGGACGCCCTCCCGACGTGAAAGGCGCTCTATAAATGAAATTGTGTTGTTGTTGTTGTTGTTGTATCCTAGGGTTTTAAACGAGGTGGCTCCAGAGATAGTGAGGCTTTGCTTTTGATCGACCAAATTCCCTGGATTCTGGAACGGTTCCCATTGATTGGAAGGTCGCACACATAACACCGCTATTCAAGAAGGGTGGGAGACAAAAAAAATGGGGAACCATAGACCAGTCCGAATGACCTACTCCTGCTCCTACGTCTTATGGTCCTATGGTCTCAGCCACAGCCACACACACAACCTCACACACACAGTCACACGCACGGAGCGACACCTCGGAGCTTAAACCTCAGAGCGCGGGACAGTCACTCACCCACGATCAGGCCGACTTCGCAGTTGTGGTCATCGTAGCCGCAGGTCATCATGGTCCCCACGGTGTCGTTAATAACAGCAACAATGTCAATGTCAAAGTCCTGCCACAGACACACACACACACAGGGGGGAGAGAAGCGAGTGAGGGGGCCATTTAGGGGCTCAGAGAGATGGGGGAGAACAGAGAGGGTGAGAAAGAGGGGGAGAGAGAGAGAGAGTGAAGGGGACAAAGAGACAGTGCGTGAGGGGGGGAGAGGGAGAGAGAAAGTATGAGGGAGGGAGACAGACAAAGAGAGAGAAAAAGTGAGAGAAGAGCGAGAGAGAGATACAGTAGGAGAGAGTGGGAACGAGAGAGGCAGTGAGAGAGAGAACGTACCCCTCGCTTCTGAATGGCCTGGCGGAGCAGTGTCACCACGTCACGGCCCTCCACACCACTCGACTTGAAGCCTTTGGTCCAGTTTACCAGCACACTCTGTGGGCAGCCACCATAAACATCAGGGTCATGGTGGGCACCAACCACCCCCCCATCCTTCTCAACCACAGTCCAGCCAGTCCTGTGTTACCCTGTGTTGTACCCACCTCCACACCCCCCACCCCCACCCCACAGCCCACCCAGTGTGACTCTCACCTCGTCGAGCTTGGTTTGCTGACAGGGGAAGGAGAAGGTGAAACCGAGCGGCAGTTTCTGATCTTTAATCCCCAATTTCTCCATGAAACTGCCCAGGCAATCGGCAATGTGGTCAAACAGCTGGTGGGAAAGAGAGACGGTCAGCCAAGCTGCGGTGGGGGGTGTATATGTGGATATAATATATATGGGGGGTGAGGTGGATATAGGTGTATGTGGGGGTGTAGTATATATGGGGGTGAGGAGTATATAGGTGTATATGGGGTGTGGTACATACAATACAATACAGAATTACATTTGTAAAGTGCCTTTCACGTCAGGTGGATATCCCAAGGCGCTGAACAGTCAGAAACCCGAGTGGTGGTGGTGGGGGTGGGATTAGGGAGGGTGGTGCAGAGAGGGTAGGAGGGTGGACGAAGAGGAGGGTCTTGAGGCCTGCCTTGAAGGAAGCAAGGAGGGAGCGAGGAGAAGGGAATGTGGGATGGCGTTCAAGAGAGTGGGAACAGAAGGCCCGACCTCCAATGGTGGGGTAGGTCGGGCGGGAGATTGGGTCGGAGCCTACTGAGTGGAGGGAGTGGACAGGTTGATTAGGGGTTAGCAGTTCGGAGAGGTAGGAGGGGGGGTAATGCCATGGAGGGCCTTGAAGGTGAGAACAAGAATTTTGAACTTGATCCTCTGAGGGATGGGGAGCCAGAGGAGCCGGGCTGGCAAGGATGGGGGTGATGGGTTCACGGAGCCTGGTGCGGGAGAGGACACAAACTGCAGAGTTCCGGTGATCTGCAGCTTGAGGAGGGAAGAGTTGGGGAGGCCGACAAGGAGGGAATTGGTGTAGTTGAGCCTGAGTGTAACGAAGGCATGTATGAGGGTGTCGGGGGCCTAAGATCTTGCTGACATTCAACTGCAGAAAGTTGGCTCTCATGACTTGACTTGAAAGTTGACTTGATGTCTACAGACATTCTGTCAGGACAGCAGTGGTCCTGGGGTCGAGGGTGGAGGCAGAGAGATAGAGTCGGTGTCATGTCGGCGGATGATGTCACCAAGAGGGAGAACGTACAGGTTGAAAAGGAGAGGACCGAGGACAGAGCCCCTGAAGAACACAGCACAAGGCTGTAAGGAGGTTGGAGGAGAAGCCATTTGTGGAGACAAAGTAAGAGATAGGATCCGAACCAGTCAAGGACAGAACCTTGAAGGTTGGAGTGAAAGGAGAGGTGGTGGAGGAAGATGGAGTGGTCCACAGTGTCAAAGGCAGTAGAGAGGTCAAGGAGGACGAGGAGACAGAGGAAGCCCTGGTCACAGATGGACAGAATGTCATTTGTCACTTTGACCAGAGCTGTTTCTGAGCTGTGGGCAGCACGGAAATCCGATTGGAGGGGTTCGTAAAGGGTGTAGGAGAGGAACGAGTGAAGCTGGGAAGAGGAAAGGGATGATACATATGTGTGGTGTATATGAGCGTGTGGTGTATATGATCGTGTGGTGTATGTGGTATATATGAGCGCGTGGTGTCTATGAGCGTGTGGTGTATGTGGTGTATATGAGTGTGTGTTGTGTACGGCGATGAGGTATATCTGAATCCCTGGTACCTGGGAACCGCTGCCTCTCATGAGATCCTCTGGGATGCTAAATATTTGGTTCTCCATCTCTACCCTCTGGCGACTGTTGTCGGACACCTTGACCCTCAGGACACGGAAGTTGGTGCCCCCGAGATCCAGGGCCAGGAAATCCCCACTCTCTGCCAGACGAGCAGCCAAACATCCAACATTACCAACAATAACTCAACAGCAACAACAAATCACACACACACATATATATACATACATTATTATAATATTATCGTATTAGAAATTACATCTACCCCACGACTTCCACGTCGGGAGGACGCCCCAAAGCCTCTTTGCCGGATACACTGTAAAGTGTAGTGACTTTACTGTGGAGTTCTGCGGCTTATTGGTTGGAGCTCTCGCCTCGCAAGCAAGAGGACCCGGGTCAGGGCGAAACCTTGGGCAGGTTTCCTCGCTCCACCTCACGCGCCTCTGTTTACCCGGTTGTTAGTCGTTTGGGGGAAATCCCTTTTCTGGGTGTAATAAATCCCTTTAAAAAATAATAAAATTGAAAAAACATGAAACAGAGCATAATTCGATCACTCAATCCACGGCGGTTCGGGGGACGCTGCGGTGCGTAATTGGCTGCCGCGTTTCACCCACAAAGCATACAGTAACTACACTCGGCAACAGCACATCCTGTGAAGCGCTTTGAAATGTCTCGAAGAGGTGATAAGGCGCTGTATTAAATTATTATTGTCACTGTTGTTTTGCGGGCGGGTGGACGCGCCTGTCGATTGGCGCACGGGAAAACCACGCTGGACGCTGACTTTAATCCCGATGGATGCGATGGCGGGGGCAGGAATCCCGACAATATCCCTGGGAATGATTGGGAACGTTGGCTTGTGTGGGCAGGGAGCCAGAGCTGGGGAATGTAACGCTCCCGTCTGGGCTGACCTTCAGTGAGGAGGTTATCTCAGTATAATGTCTATCTACCAGTGCTGTCATTCAAGAATTTTTACCTTTTGGGGCGTTTTCTGTAGCCCCAAAATTCAGAGTTTTAGGCTCCATTCAAACTATTCTAAAGGATTCTTTTGCGTTGTCTTTTTTTTTTAAGAAAAAAGAGTCCGTTCTCGAGCAGCCGGGATACGTGATGCTCGGGTTTTCAGAAACCGCGGCCGTTTCATATCACCTTTGAAATCAACCCAATTCAGCGCTGAAACAGTTGCGAAGAGCGTCGTGTCGCCGAGAGAATGCGGATGGCCTTGCGACGAGGCAGCTCAGATCATGTCACCTTCGTGCAATGCCACCCTCAGCCTTATTCAGACATATTCTAGGTGGACACCACTAGACCCTCGCAGGGGAATGATCAGTCCAAAAAAAAAAAAAAATGATAATAATTGGGTCACTCAATCCACGTCTGTTTGTGGGGACGCTGCTGTGCGCAATTGGCTGCCGGGTTTCGTCCACAAAATGCGGTCAATCCACTTGGCTCCCTGCCCGCACGAGTAGGAAGGCGTCTCAAAGTCGTTGTGTCAAATGGTGGGTGGGTGGGTGGGTGATGGGTGGGTGGGTGGGTGTTTGACGGTGTGATTAAAAGAGGGAGGGAAGGAAATGCGAACTTCTGAAATGTTCAGCGTGTGTGAGCGTGTGACGGGGTGTGAGGAGGCGTGTGAGGGTGTGTGTGTGTGTGTGTGTGGGGGGGTGTGAGGATTAGGGTTAGGGTGAGCTGCGCGAGGGTTCGGGTGAGGTGTGTGAAGTGTTGGCCCTATTGTGGAGTCCTGTAGCTCAGTGGTTAGAGCACTCGCTTTGCAAGTGAGAGACCTGAGTTCATTTCCAGGCAGAGGGCGAAACCTTGGGCAAGTTTCCTTACTCCACACAGAGCCTAATAATAATCCTCCAAAACCAAAAACAATAATAAATTGGTCATTTTCAATCTACGACTGTTTGTGGGACATTGCTGTGCGCCATTGGCTGCCGCGTTCGCCCACAAATATACAGTCAATTCACTTTACAGTATATTCTGTGAAGCGCTTTGGGACGTCCTCCCGACGTGAAAAGCGCTATATCAAATGCGAGGATTATTATTATTATTATTATCTCTGGCTCCTTTTCTCTGGCTTCTCTCGCTGACGCTGTGGGCAGTATAAAGGGTCTGTACTGTCTGGTAGCAGAACTGCTCCCTCAGCAATGTGGCCAGTGTATACAGTAATGTGCTGAGTCGGGAAGTACTGCCATCACGTTCCCTCTCTCTGGGCGTTCGCACAAAGGGCCCGGCGGGTTCAAAGCCAGACACCATCAGCCGGAGTCTCAATATCATAGCCCCGCTGACATTAACCCTTCCCCAACTCCCTCTACGTGGGTATTTACAGGGCCCGGAACACAAGAGAGGTCTATAGTTAAACGCTTGTGATGTTAGACCCCCCCCACCCACCACCGGCTGATCACGCTGACGGGTTTCCGTGTATGTCAGTCACACGGCTGACCCAAACACCAGGCTGAAGCTGAACTGAGCGACAGCAACAACAAAGTTACATGTGCAACGCGCCTTTCACGTCGGGAGGACGTCCCAAGGTTGCTGGACAGTCAGTATTTCGGACCCGGGCATGGGGGTCAGGATCGGGGAGAGTGGAGGGCAGGGAGGGGAAGGAGGGTTGAAGAGGAGGGTCTTGAGATGGGTCTTGAAGTAAGTAGGGGAGGGGGCGAGGCGGAGGGAACTGCGGGATGGAGTTCTAGAGAGTGGGGGCAGAGTGGCTAAGTGTGCAAGATGGTAGAGGTCGCAGCGGCAGGGGCGAGCAAGGCAATGGAGGGCTTTGAAGGTGAAGACCAGGATCTTGAACTGTATCCTCTCTCTCTGTGATGGGAAGCCGGTGGGTGGAGTCGGGCGAGCCTGGTGCGGGAGAGGACACGGGTTGCAGAGGGCAGAGCCAGTGCGTTTGATGCCAGAGGCAGTGACCTGATTACGATGTGAACACACTGTTCTCTAAAACGCGCCTCGAACCTCTGGTCGAGTCTCCCAAATGGATTAGGGAAAGATCTCAAGGTCTGATGCTCCCAGTGAGTGATGTACAAATGCCATTGCGGTGTCTCAATTGTCATCACGTGACTCGCAGATGAACAATTGTTTTTTTGTGCACAGAGAGAGGCTCCGCAAGTCACAGCCACAAAGCTCTCTTCCCTTTCCCCCCAAATCAGGGCAAATTAAACCCAGTCCTACCCACCCTACGGCATAAATCCTGCAAACCGCTTTGAGACGTCTCGACGACGTGATCAGGTGCTGTGTCAGACAGAGGGATTAGAGGTTATGATTCTGTAACAACGAAATTTGCGCAAAGCCCAACCCAACAAAACAGGCAATTGTTATTCTTGGTTCGGGGAGTGCTCGCGTGTGTGAGAGAGAAACAGAGAGAATGTGAGTGAGTGTGTGTGTGGTGTGTGTGAGAGAGAGTGTGTGCGTGTGTGAGCGAGTGTGGGATTACGAGTGTTTGTGTGTGAGTGAGTGCGTCACATATGAGCTGTTGCGTGCGCGTGTGTGATGTTTGTGTGTATGAGTGATTGTGTGTGTGTGTGCGTGTTTGGGTGAGGAAATGAATGGGTGTCGGTGTGAGTGTGTGTTCGTCAGTGCGTGTGCGTAGGAATGTGAGTGCGTTGGGGTGTGTGCGCGTGTGTGAGTGAGTGTGTGTGTGTGGTTCTGGTATAAACAGCTACACCCTCCCAAACCAGACCAGCCACCCTCCCACCTTGACATGGGGGGGTGGGGGCAGCTCAAGTCCACAACCTTCTGCCTTGGAGGCAAGAGGCCTAACAAGAGCGCGAGCAAGCGAGCGGGGCTGAGAGTGCCGGTGATGCCGGGCACGAAGCTGGCTTACCCGTGCCGTCCGGGGTGGACCTGACGAAGGTAGGCAACATCTTGACGGAGGAGGTCGGGTTGGTGTCTCTGCCGAGGCCTCGCTCCATCTCTACCAGGAAGCGTTTGGAGATGTCCTGTAGCGTCTCGTCAGACAGTCGCATGTGGTACAGGTACTTGTCCACCTGGGTGTGGGAGGGAGGGGTGGGGGGGGAGGGGGGGGGAGGAAGAGAAGGTCAGTGTCAGCAACTCAAACAACTGTACCGGGGGTCTTTCACGCAGAGGACAGTGTCTGGAAACTCCTGAATCACAAAAAAAAAACCTTTGTGCATTTCTACTTTCTACTGTGACACTTTTTACTGCTTTGTCGCTCTCCCCCACCACCCCCTACCCACCCCCGGGTCAACAGGTTGTGGGTTCAAGCCCCGCGTACAGACAGACACTCACACGCAGTGACACACACACACACACACTCCCACACATCCTCCCACAACATATCAGAGGTCAGATCAAATAATTGGGATCTTTCTGCCGGCGTAGGAACGAGGCAGGGCTGGGAACTTCCTCACGCAGACCCTTCCCCAGCGATATCTTTAGCCGTGTGTCTGCACACGACACAGTTAACACCGGCCTCCGTCGGGGAAGAGGTGGTGCCTGGCGTCTGGAGGTGCATGGCTCTGCCCTGTGATGGCTGTATCCCATCAGGCAAGTCGCTCAGCCTCGCGGCACGTCTTGTCCTGTGAGGCAAGAACACTGTGACCCTGACTGACTGACTGACTGACGGCCAGCGGTCACAGCACACGCCCCAGCGAGAGAAACTGCCGCTCGGTCCATTGTTCTCACCTCAGACGCTGACAGCATCCACCATCCATGGTTGCACACTCCACCTTGCTAAGCCAGTCCCGGACCTTGGGGTCTTGTTTGACTCTCAACTATCCTTTCTGCCCCCACATCTGCGCCACGACCCTCTCTGCCTTCCCCCCCCCACCTCCGCACGTCGCCCGGCTCCGACACTGTCTCACACCGCACGCCCCCGAGACCCTCGTACGCGCCTTCATTACATTGAGGCTCGACTAAGCAAACTCACTGCTTGTCGGCCTCCTCCCTCAGGTCATCCAGAACCCTCTGTGTCCTCTCCCGCACCGGGCTCCGTGACCCTATCACTCCCGTCCTCACCCAACTCCACTGGCTTCCCATCACACAGAGCATACAGTTCAAGATCCTGGTCCTCACCTTCAAAGCCCTCCATGGTCTTGCTCCCCCTTACCTCTGTGACTTCCTAACCCCTTACCATCCTGCTCGCTCCCTTCGCTCAGTGGGCTCTGGCCTGCTCCATGTCCCCTACCTCGCTCGCCCCACTATTGGCGGGCAGGCCTTCTGCCACTCTGCCCCCACTCTCTGGAACTCCATCCCGCAGTCCCTCCGTCTCACCCCCTCTAAGACCCACCTCAAGACCCTCCTCTTCAATCGTGCTTTCGATCACCCTGGTTCCCCCTCCTCCCTCCCCGACCCCTCCCCCCAGCTCGGGTCCGTAACTCTATCTGTCCAGCGCCTTGGGCCGTCCCCCCGACGTGAAAGGCGCTATAGAAATGTAATTTTGTTGTTGTTGTTCTGCATCTCCAGCATCAGTACATCCATCACTGCTTCTGGTCCTCTCCCCTCCTCACCCCTCCCTTGCTCACCACTCCCCTCCCTCTCTCCAAAGGCAACCCTAGGGGGCATTGAGAGGTCTTCTCTGCTCTCCCCCTCCATTAATTTGCAAACTCAAGACATCTGCCCCTTTACAGCAGTGTTATGTGTGTGTGTGCAAGTGTGGAGGGTGGGGGTGGGTGGCAAAGAAGGTGAATGTGTCGGGGGGTGGGTGGAAATAATAATAATAATCCTTTTCACATCTTCTCGACGTCTCAAAGCGCTTCACCGAATCGACTGCGAAGTGAATTGACGATACATTTGTGGGCGAAATGCAGCAGCCAATTGCGCACGGCAGCGTCCCGACCAACAGTCGCGGTTTGAAGTGACCAATTTATTATTAATGATTGTTTTATTTTCTTGAGGGATTATTATCAGGCGCGCGGAGTAAGCAAAGCGAGTACTTTTAACCACTGAGCTTCAGGACAATAAGATGTGGGCAAAGATCATTATTATGTAGATATGCAGTGAATGGGGCCGAATTCCTGTCCGACTGGTTCCCCCACCCATTTTACAGAGGAGATTGCAATGTGAGCCATTTAATTTAATTCACTGTTTCCTTTGGACGCTAACCCACCCTCACCCACCCTCGCGCACATCCACGCGCCCACCCCACTACTGCACCTGCACACCGCTCTAACGCGTGCACGAACACACGCGCACTCCACACTGACACACGCACACACTGCGCACTCGCACTGCACACTGACTCACCCTCACACATATACACACACACACACACACCAACGTACGTGCACTAATGCATACACACCCCCCCCCCACCCCACCCCCCACTGTAGAGACTAAATCGGTGAGAATGAGTGTTGCAATTGAGAAAGTGGCCCAAATCAAGTTGTGTAAGAGACTGTCATCATATTTTACTGTACGACTCAGTATTTTGCGCCATTTGCTGAACTGAAGGATATTATAAACCGCAATCTCTGTGTTACTAAACACAGTTGCATCATCCACATTCCCATCTGTCTTGATCTGCGTTCATCAGGTCTGGGGGGATGTTGTCAGCGCCCCTCGCTCAGTGCCGTCACCCCATCTCACGCTCTCCCAGTCCGGAGCCCAGTCCGGAGGGGTACACTGACCGCCCCCCACCCCACAGCCTCCAGCAATAAAGACAATAAATTTCCCCACTCTCTGTGTGTGTGTGTGTGTGTTGTGTGGGAGTGTGTGTGTGTGTAGAGTGGTGGTGTGAGTGTGTTGTGTGTGTGTATATGTGTTGTGTATGAGTGTGTGTATGTGTGTTGAGTGGTGTGTATATGTTTTGTGTATGTGCGTATGTGTGTGGTGAGTGTGTGTGTGTGTGTCAGTGCTACGTCACACAATGGAGCTGTGTGACTGTTGAGGTTGCTGGGGGGGGGGCAAAGTGGCTCGTGCTAACCTTCTTCAACAAACTAACCCACCCCCCCCCCCCCCACCCCCACCCCCAACACCCCCCACACACCCTCCAGCGACACACCCGTAACAGACGGAAATGGATGATCAATCTCCCAAACAAAATCACTCGTTCGCTTCGCGGCCGCCCGCGCGGGGTGGTGGAGGGGTGGGAGGGGGGACGGGGACGTCGCTGCGCAAATCAACTGCCGTTCGCCCGCAAAACACACAGTCACTACACTTTACAGTGCAACCCCGTGAAGCCCTCCCACTGTGAAACGGAAGGATTATTATTGAGCTGTTTGACGTCCGGCTGGGCTGTGCATGTTCTACATCCCTGACGTGTGGGGTGTGGGGGGGCAAGGGGGTGGGGTGAGGGAGGGGGAGGGTTTGGGGCCTGAACCCTACCTTGTGAGACGAGAGGGTGAGTGGCTGAACTGACACGTGAGAGTGCGATTTAAGGAGAGGACCTTGTGAGGGCAGCAGCGAGGGGGAGCTTGCACACGTTCAGTCTCTGGGGGTCAGAGACCTCCTGTGTGGCTGTAAGCCCCGGGGTTCAGCACTGCCGCACCCCAACCCCAGCCCCAGGGAGGTGTAACCAAACCACGTCCGACAACAACAACAACAACACCACCATCACATTTGTATTTACACCAAACACCACCACGGTTTGACATCTAGTTGCTTGACCAGCTTGGGACCACCCCGGTGGGCCAGGTGGGCTCGGGTTCAAAGGGTTTAACAGGAAGATCCCGCTCGGCTCCTGTGGGTCGTGGGAATCTGGGACCCTCTCCCTCCCGCGCACGCCCGTGGAGCCTGGATCAATTGTCCAGACTGACGTGGATGGATGTCCGTCAGCTCGGGGGATCGAGGGCTATGGGGCAAAGGTGGGCTATTGGCAGTTGAGGTACCAGATCAGCCGTGGTCTAATAGAATGGCGGAACAGGCTCAAGGGGCTGAATGGCCTCCTCCTGTTCCTATATTCCCAGCCTCCCCTCCCCCCGACCGCCAGTGCAGCCGAGAGTAATGGGGTCGGAAAAGGACGCCATCAGGAGAAACTGTGAATGATCTCCAAGGATTATTGGCTCACGTTGCTGTTTCTCCTCTTACCAGTTGTGGTAAAATAGAGCAACGCTGAGTGTGTCAGCTCCCTCATCACCCCCCCCCACCCCGCCCTCCCTCCCTCCCCGCAGAGCCCACAGGTATGACCCTCGCGTGTGATACAGAGCCTTTCACATCGGGAGGAACGTCCCAAAGGGTTTGAAGTGTAGTGACTGTGTGTTTTGTGGGCGAAAGCGGCTGTCGATTCGCGCACATGGATGTCTGTCCCTGCAAATTGCATGGAATGATTTTGCTTGAGGGTGGGAGGGGGGGGGTCTCCGACAATGCAGCACCACCCCTACTGCCCAGCACCCACCCCAGCACTGCCCCCCCCCCCCACCCCCCAGCCCTGAGCAACCTTCCCTCCACCCCCTTTCCCCAGGACTGCCACCCCCCCCACCCCCCTCCCACCCCCCACCACACAGCACAGAGAGTGGACAGGGGAGATACAGAGGAGAGAGAGGGGAGGGAGAGAGAGAGAGAGAGAAAGGATGGAGAGAGAAAAGGGGAGATAGAGAGATAGGGATACAGAGGGGAGAGAGAAAGGGGGGAGAGGGAGGGGTTGGGAGAGCGAGAGAGAGGGATGAGGAGGGTGAGATTGGGAGTGAGTGAGGGGCAATGAGAGGAGAGAGAGAGGGAGATTTGGACCAAGAGGGGGCAATCAGAGGAGAGAGAGAGAGAAAGAGAAATGTAGAGAGATTGGGAGCGAGAGGGGATCAGAAGAGAGAGAGAGATAGAGAGAGGGATGAGGGGATCAGAGGAGATAGAGAGGGATGAGGGGATCAGAGGAGAGAGGGCAATTGGGGAGAAAGATTTAACACTCTCTACACAGCACTGTCCCAGGCAGTGAGACTGTGACCATGTGGCTTCCTACCCCCTCTACCCCACTCTCTCACCCTGTTTCCCCCCACCCCCCTCTCTCATTTTCTCCCCCATTACACCCCCCACCCCACCCCCACCCCCACAGCTAAACAGGACCTCAGCACATGGGAGATCAGCCCAGAAAGGCAACAAACCAGTTCTCTCTCTGTCTCTCTCCTAGTTCTCGTTGTGTCTGTCTGTCTGTCTGTGGGGGTCTGTCTGTGTGTGGGGGGGGGTCTGTCTGTGTGTCTCTCCCTCTGTCTCTCTCTCTTCAAACACATACAGAAATGCCCCCCACACCCCCCATACAGTTCCAGGATGTCTGATGACTCCCTTCTTCACATGTCACTGCCACATCAATGTGACACTCACTCGTTCACATTTGTTCACATACGTGTCAAGGGCAGACAGTCGTATTTCTCCCCTCTTTCCTCTCTCTCTCTCTCTCTCTTCTCCCCCTTCTCTTCCCCCCCACCCTCTCTCCCTCCCCCACCCTCTCTCCCTCTTCTCCCCCTTCTCTTCCCCCCCACCCTCCCACCCACCCTCTCTCTCTCTCTTCTCCCCCTTCTCTTCCCCCCACCCTCCCCCACCCTCTCTCGCTCCCTCTCTCTCTCCTCCCCCTTCTCTTCCCCCCCACCCTCTCTCCCTCCCTCTCTCTCTCTCTTTTCCCCCTTCTCTTTCCCCCCCCACCCTCTCTCCCTACCCCTCTCTCTCTTCTCCCCTTTCTCTTCCCCCCCACCCTCCCACCCACCCTCTCTCTCTCTTCTCCCCCTTCCCTTCTCTTCCCCCCCACCCACCCACCCACCCTCTCTCTCTTTCCCTCCTTCTTCCTCTCCCAACTCAACGAACCCACATCAGTACCATCACAACTATCGCTATTGTTTTAACTCCTCGTCTCTTCACGAGGTCTGTCTCACTCAAGAGCACAAGGTCCCAGACCCCCTCCTCCTTCTCCCTCTCCCCTCTCTTCTGCTCCACCCCCCCCATTCCTCCTCTCCCCCCCCCCCCCCCCCTCTCTCTCCCTCCCCCCCTCTTCTCCTCCCAAAAAATCTTGGAAAGTCTGAACATCACAACTAAAACAGAGGTTAAATGCCAAGTAACTTGATTCCTTCCATTCCACAGACTTATGTCTGTGCTCCAAATAGTGTGAGTGTGTGTGTGTGGGGGAAGGGGGGAGTGTGTGTGTGGGGGGGGGAGAGGTTGGGGAGAAATCCTCCTAACGGGAGAGAGAGAGGGGGAAAGGATGGGATCAGAGGAGAGACTGAGGGACAGAGATCGGAGTGAGTGAGAGACAGAGAGACAGAGAGTGTGAGAGAGAGAGAGACGCAGACAGAGAGAAAGAGAGTGGGAAAGGGACAGAGAGAAAGAGAGTGGGAGAGGGACAGAGAGTGGGAGAGGGACAGAGAGAAAGAGTGGGAGAGGGACAGAGAGAAAGAGAGTGGGAAAGGGACAGAGAGAAAGAGAGTGGGAGAGGGACAGAGAGAAAGAGAGTGGTAGAGGGACAGAGAGAAAGAGAGTGGGAGAGGGAAAGAGAGTGGGAGAGGGACAGAGAGAAAGAGAGTGGGAGAGGGACAGAGAGAAAGAGAGTGGGAGAGAGACAGAGAGAAGAGAGTGGGAGAGGACAGAGAGAAAGCGAGTGGGAGAGGGACAGAGAGAAAGAGAGTGGGAGAGGGACAGAGAGAAAGGGAGTGGGAGAGGGACAGAGAGAAAGAGAGTGGGAGAGGGACAGAGAGAAAGGGAGTGGGAGAGGGACAGAGAGAAAGAGAGGGAGAGGGACAGAGTGGAGAGGGACAGAGAGAAGGGAGTGGGAGAGGGACAGAGAGAAAGAGAGTGGGAGAGGGACAGAGAGAAAGAGAGTGGAGAGGACAGAGAGAGAGAGTGGGAGAGGGACAGAGAGAAAGAGTGGGAGAGGGACAGAGAGAAAGAGAGTGGGAGAGGGACAGAGAGAAAGAGAGTGGGAGAGGGACAGAGAGAAAGAGAGTGGGAGAGGGACAGAGAGAAAGAGTGGGAGAGGGACAGAGAGAAAGAGAGTGGGAGAGGGACAGAGGAAGGAGTGGGAGAGGGACAGAGAGAAAGAGAGTGGGAGAGGGACAGAGAGAAAGAGAGTGTGAGAGGGGACAGAGAGAGAGGGATTGCAGACACGATGTAGATATTAATGGACAAAAAAAAGGTCGCTCACCCTCTGCACTTGGTCATGTTTCAGCTCCGTGAAATAATACACCAGGAGATGAGAGGCGATCATCGTGTCTTTGCACAGAGAGAGATGGACACAGAGAGAGACACAGAGAGAGAGAGAAGGTAACAGAGAGAGAGACACAGAGAGAGAGAAGGATGGGATGGGGACTGAGGACCGAGGGAGGGGGGAGAGAGGAGAGAGAGAGAGAGATAAAAGCCTGGACTGAGGGGAGGAGCAGAACACAGAGAGAGAGAGAGAGAGAGAGAGTTGTCACCACGCGATGGTTACAAAAAAAAGGGGGCAGGAGCCGACTTACTGTGTGTGTGTGTGCGAGAGAGTGTGTGTGTGTGTGTGTGTTGGTGTGTAGTGTGTAGTGTGTAGTGTGTGTGTAGTGTGTGTAGTGTGTAGTGTGTGTGTGTGTGTGTAGTGTGTGTTTGGTGGAGTGTGTGTGTGGTGTGTGTGTGTGGTGTGTAGTGTGTGTGTGTGTGTGGTGTGTGTATGTGTGGTGTGTAGTGTGTGTGTGTGTGTGTGAGTGGTAGTGTGTGT